CCCTCTTGTGCCAACGAACGCCCGACCCAGTCTATCAATGAAGACAACTTCAGACTCTTTCTACGTCATTTGCCGTTGGAGTAGGCTTGACAGACCTGTACTCTGCCGACAAACGACTGCCCAAATCGTAAATAGGCCAAGAATCCAAAAATCTAACCCAACGTTCATCCTACCTATCTTTATAACTTCTAGATAGACCAGCAACCAAAAAGAGGGATTTATGATGTTTGAGCAACATCAATGCATGCGTAGCGAGTGGGAGAGATCGTTCGTTGCATAAGGAAAAAAATTGGATTCGTAACCTCAGGATTGAACTGAGGGAAGCTGAGCTCCTGCAACGTAATTCCTGCAATATAATCAGACTCGACCTCAATCAAGAGCTACTGTGTACACGAACCGTTGCGGGGAATCGAACCCCGGCCTTGTCGGGCCTCTGTGTCTACAGGGACACATGAGAGCGACAAATCCTAGCCACTAGGTGAGGGTTAGCACTAGACTCGACCATTGGTGAGAATTATGCAACGAACCTAGACCACAACGGAGTCTTTAAGACCTGATTGGATGCCTGATACTGAGTAAGTTGCAAATATATAGCTTGGCAAACCTTTGTGGGTCATGTGAGCAACGGTGGGTCGAGGAAGCTTGATCCCTGAACGTTGGACGCCGAAGTCGCTCCTCCAGCAAGTCTGGGCAGCTTTCTCGAACTCCGAATGCCGCTCTCTTTCATCTCTACGTACGTTACAAGGAGGAAATATGATACGGAATGGAAAGGGTATGTATCTTCTGAGCCTGGATAGAACAAGCCAGACCAACCAAACAACGTTAAGCAGCGACTTTCAATTCGAGCAGAGCCACGAACTCGGCCTATGAAAGCAGAGTTTCGAAGGAGCTGAGCCACAGCTAGGGAGCTCTTGATCGTATCGAGCAAAATGGATTCTTGGCTCAACGTCTGTCAGCGAGCTACGACGTTTACGAGGGTATGCAATTTGCACTCCCAAACAGACTCGTTACAAGCAGCCAACACAGCATTCAAAGTACATCCACGTGTGTTCTGTCGAGCGTCAAAAACTCTGTGCGCCGAAAATTCGACAGGTGAAGTCGCCACACCTTCCGCATTTGGCAAGGCTGAGCCTCGGCATTCCACGCTAGCGTCAAAATCTTCGCACTCCACCAACGCTCTCCATCGCCATCAATTGGCAGCGACACAATGGACTCCTCATCATCGCGAATCGCTAGGAGGTGATAAAGTACGGTAATAAGTATTATCGTTCATTCTGTCGTGCTGAAGCCCGCCATTCGAGCTCCAGCTCCAGCTTCAGCGCCTGCTCGGGACGGTGGCTCATCAGCCGCGCCCTTTTGTTCCTTTGTGAGGTCTGTAAACATCTCTTGACACATTGATATCTCCTAGTTCGAGACACTATATGCCCTCGCTGCTTTGAAGAGAACCAGAACAAGCCTGTTAAGACTCTTCTTTCCATTCCCGTCTGACTAGCAAGTACATCGCCGACCAAGATGGAGCAGCCGCACCGCCTGGACCATATAAAATCAATTCTCCGTGACAACATCATAGCAGGGGGTTTCTCAGCAGCCATAGCCTCGAACAACTCAACCCCTATCCAAATCCACTCCGGCCACGCCAACATCGCCCAAAACGAGCCCCTCACCTCAACCCACCTTTTCGGCATCGGCAGCATAACAAAAGTCTTCATCGCGGTCGTCATCTTCCAACTAGTCGAAGAAAACAGACTATCATTGACCGATACCGTTTCCGAATACCTCTCAGATAAATTTCTGCACGATATCGACAATGCCGCCTCAGCCACGATTGCACAACTTCTAAGCCACGAAGCCGGTGTCGACAGCTGGGAAGACGACCCGAAATGGATCGTCGACGGACGAGGCGCGAACATCAACGTCAAGCGCCTTTGGGGGAAGAGCGATACATTGGAGTACGTGCGACGGCCGAGGAGGACGGCGCCTGAGCAAGGCAATTGGTATTATTCGAATAAGAATTATACACTTCTTGGACTTATAATCGAGAAGATTACGAACAACACCGCGGAAGGAGAGGTGAGAAAGCGGATTCTGGAGCCTTTGGGGATGGAGGAGACGTTTTCGATGGGTTTGAAGAGACTCCTACTGGAAAGATGGTGGCGGGTCGGAACCATTATGCGACGAAGCAGTTTCATGAGAGAGCTGGTGTGAGTCCTGAGTTTCCGTTCGTACTTCCGGATATTTTCGATGCTACGGGGTCGAATCTGTCTGTCTCCTGGACGGCGGGTGGCATGATGTCGTCGACTTCCGATTTCTGCAAGTTCGCTCTCGCCCTGCGGGATGGACGACTTCTCGAGCCAAGGTCTTGGAAAATCATGCGAGGTTGGAGGACAACGACTATCGAAGGTCATGAGATGGGTCATGGCATATTCAGAATGACGCTCCCAGGAAAAGGAAGCTGGCTAGGCCATTCAGGCGGAGTTTTGGGCTTCTCAACTGGCTTGTGGTGGAAAGAAGACGAAGACTGTGTGGTTTGCGTAATGGGAAACTGCGGGACTGTTCACGCCGGAAAAGTCGACCGCGATGTCAACGGTGTAATACGAGAGTCTGAGTTTCTGAATCTTGCGAAAGACGCAGTAGCTTCCTCTTCGCATCGGTCGGGAACTCTGCTAGGGTAGGATTTTACTAAGCTTTGGAGGAGTTCAGCTCGGTCGTACATCACCTGTCTTTCGTACCTTTTGATCGCTTTTCCCTTTGATATATCACACGAAAGAAACAACAATGTCGTCGTCGACTTTGTCCCGGACGATATCCACACCTCGACTAACCATACGCCTGACTGACCCGGACAATGAGGAAGATTGCAAGGTGATTCTCACCTTCTACGACCCAGTCACTCGTCCAGATATGCAAACACCTTCAGACATCCCCAAGAAATCCGAAGCCAACATGATAAAGCCGGATCTCTGCACCCTCGCAGTCCCACCAAAAGGCGTCTTCCACCTCATCTTCGTCAACGACTCCCCCGACACCAGTCCCATCGGCTTCATCGGCTTCAGCTGCCGCCCGAACTGGCCATGCTCCGATTTAGGCTACAAACTGCTCCCTGCCTGTCGAGGGAAAGGCTATGCCTCCGAAGCCGGCAAAGCAGTCCTATCGTTCTGGCGGGATGAAGTTGGTGTCAAGGAGATCTGTGCGCCGATTGGGGTGGCGAATGTGGCAAGTCAGCGGGTCGCGGAGAACATTGGGTTTGTGAGGGATAGAGAATTTCATGGCAACGGAGAGGGATGGAAGAAGGCTGGGGGTGATGAAGGGGAGGTAGCCTATGTGTTGCCAGGGATGGAAGGGAGGATTGACTGGGATAGCATGGAGTTGGAGTAATGCTTTCTCTTCAAGAAAGGCGGGAGAGTTGCTCAAGATTTGATAAAATCTCTGCACTTCTCACTTCTCTACCGCTGGAACCGCTCACCACCACACTGTACTCACTCCGTCTTCCGCACATATTCCACGGGACCGAGGTACTCGTGCCTGCCTCTGACAAAGTACCAAGTGAAAGCGATAATCACTGTCCCCACAAACACTACGACAGCCCAGTTGAAGTATTCTGCTGTTGGATGCGGCGCGGTGGGAAAGAAAATCAACACAAATTGTAAAGCCAAATATGCCATGGCCAAGATGTTGATCGCCAGACCGGCCTTGCCCAAATCGAATCGTGAAGGAGGCAGCGGCTGTTTGGTGATTTTGCGGTAGGCTACACAGCCGATGACGATGAAGTAGCTCGCGTAGAGAGCAGACTGACATAGCGACGCCAGGGTGAAGAATGCAACTGGTGAGCCGATGATGATGAAGCTGACTAGGATCTATACAGTTATTAGAGCAGGCCTTCGTGACAATGGCAGATGGACATACCGAGAAACACAATGTAACCGTAACAGCGTTCAAGGGGACGTCCCATCCCGGCCGGACGTGAGAAAGGAAACCGCTGAATGGCAGTCCCTTGTCTCGCGCGAAAGCGTAGAGTTGTCGAGACGTCGTCGTGACTTGGTTGATGATGCCGAATAGTAGCAGGATAAACATTATAGAGGTCAAGGCCGTCGCTCCGCCGTTGGTTCGGGTCACGTTCTGGAAGATTTTTATGTACGGCTGATAAGGTACAGAAAGGAGGTCATCGACTGAGCTACCTTTCACCGTCATGATGGCTTTTGGGCTGTTAGCTGGATCTGAGCATCGGCAAGGGAGAAACTAAACATACTGATGACTGTGAAGAAACACATGGCGTAGTTCGTGATTGCGGTGAGCACCATAGTTCTCGGCAGTACCCATGATGCGTCCTGGGTCTCCTCAGCCAGATGGGCTGAGCAGTCCTATGAGATGTTAGCATAGCCTGGCTCCACTGGTATTGAGTATTTGTGAGCATACCGAACCAACTAGTGAACCTGTCGCGGCGAGTGTGCCAACAAAGAGAGCGGTGCCGTAACTTCCCCTGGACAATCTATCAGTACAAACTAATCGAAAACCAAGAGATGCAATTTTACCATCCGCTGTAATCGCTAAATTGCGTAAATGTCTAAACAAGTCATCAGTCTGTGTATCGCCAACCACTCAATACCACATCTTACTTCAGACGCAGGCGCCCTATCACCCATAACCCAAAGTACGACGATTACAGCAACGAATGCAAAGATATGTAAGGTGAACATCTAGATCCGAGCAACATTAGCATGCATTCGCAAGATCATCCCAGCATTTAGTTGTGCTTACTATGCCTTCGAATGTCGGCAGCTTTCGCAGTAGGATGGTATCTACAAGATGGCGGTCAGTTCCGAACGCAGATCATACAGCGTAGTCGAAAAGGCGAGGTTGAGACTGACTGAAGGCTATGGTACTAAGAACGATCGCGATTGTGAGTAGTACGCCCTGCCATGCGGCATTCGAGTAGTTTGGAAGATTGAGCGATATGATGCCTTGTACAGAGAGAGCGCCGCTGTATGCTGTGCTGCAAAGGGCAGTTTGCCATCCAAGAACCTGCATCTGTATCAGGACTGACATCGACAACGCCACAACGGAACTTACACATAGCCATCCAGTAATATACGAGAGCACTTTCTGGTAATTTTTGGGAGCGAACTCACTGACCCAGTGATACCTTCAATGAGGTCAATACTAACCAGCCTGTCAAGTGAAAAGGTGAGGCAACGCACTGTCCTCCTGCCGTAGGAGCCATACTCGCCATCTCCGCCATCGACAAGGTTGATAAGAACAGGCCACAGATGACAATGAGATAACCCCAGATGGCCCCCGCTGTGCCGCCGTTGGTCAAGGGCGCAATCACACCGATGATCGCCAGCACCCAGCCATTGACGAGGATCAGTGAATACCCAAAGATGGAAAGGAAGCGGAAGTTTCGACGTAGTTCCTGCTTTTTGTTCAAGCGCCACATGTCTTTCTGGTCGTCGTATGTGTTCCTGTACCTTGAGTCATTTGTCGGAAGGCCTTCGATGGGAGCTGGTTCCTCGCTGAAAACTTCTTCGACAGCTGTGCCTGCGTCTCGGCTGCCCATGGATTTCATCTCATACGAAGGCCCCATGCCGGCTCCGAAGGAGTTTTCCTGCTTGAAAGGTGGTCGGGAGGCCATCATGAACGAAACTTGTCTCGATGGACTGAGGTGCGATGCCAGTCGTAATGCCGTTTAAATTCGGGAGAAGTCGTGCACACATGCAGTGCAACAACGTGCCCATGTTGACTTCGTACTTGGCCACGGCATCGACCTAGAGCCTTTCTGGTATCTGGAGCGAATGTCAAGTTACAAACTCAGAGCTACTGCGTGGTCCACCCCACGGCACACCTCCGCTTCGCTTGGGAAGGCAGTCCAACCGCCGTGGGGAAGGTACCGACATGCATTAGCGTGAGGACGTTGAAGTTGATTTGACGTGGCAGGGTGGGAGGATGGCAGCAGTCACTCAGCCAAGGCCTGAATGACAGCGGCACAGCAGTGGGAAGCTTGGCCCGAACCTTCTTCTCGCGGGCCCATGCCGGCAGCCATCTGTCTATCAGTATCGCATCACTGCAGGATTTGGCCAGATAACTGTGCCGCAGTCCATGGCTTGCTTGAATGCCTGCGACTTCCAAGTCTTCGCTGAAGCCACTAGTTGACCTCTCGCAGTCGGAGCTGCAGCACTTCACTGACACCCACGCCTCTTCAAACTCAATCGTGGTGGGCATGCATCGTTCATATACTGCTGCAGCTTTCAAAGGGAGCCTTTGTCCTCCAGCCTCGATCTTTTTCAGCATGTGGCCATGGTTCGGTTCGCCGTCGACAACGGTGTGGATAAAAGTGCAACCGTCTGGGTGATCACTTTGCTGGCGTTGATATACTCGTGCATTACTCTTGGATCTAGAGTCTACTTCAAGCTCGGGTCGCTCGGTCGCGAAGACGTTGCAATCCTTCTTGGACAAGCAACAGCTTGCGGGCAGTTCGGTACGTTGCACTCAATCTTGCCTGAAAACTTCGCATGGAAATTAATCGTTCTCGAAAGAAGCCATTCGACACGGACAATCGCTGACTTTCACCCCCAGGAGCTGGCATATTTGCTCTCCAGCGTGGCCTTGGCATGAACTTGTCTCTGTTAAGCAGAGAGAACCTGGAATCAATATCTGGCGTATGTAGGAGCTCGCGCGGTTTTGGAAAATTGCGGCTGATGTGAATGAAGGCCTTCACAGCTATACAAGTCTTGTACTTCACATCCTCAGCCTTGTCGAAGTTGTCGACTGCCATCCTCCATCGACTCTTGTTCCATCACCTCGAGAGCAGGCGCGCAGCAGAACTCTGCCTGTGTATGGCAATCATGGCAGCATGCTGGGGCTTCGCCTCGGCTTTGGCAACTTCAGTTGGTTGCGACATGGTACAACGTTTGGTGACAGACGACAGTTTAGCATGCCCAGTGAGCGTCTGTCGCCTCCCGAATTTGCTTCTCAAGGAATTATGCTGACTCGTTGGCTGCAGCTCACGAGATATAGAGGCCCTCTCGTGGCCGACTGCTTGCTCGAAGCCGCCTTGGTGACTCTTCCGGTATACTTCACGGCTGGACTTCAAATGAAGCGTGCGCAGAAACTCAAAGTATGCTCTGCTTTTGCCTTCCGCGCACTGTAAGTACATCCGGTTTGCAAGTGCGAAAGATGTACACTGATGACTGGTAGCTGCATCGTTTTCTCGGCAATGCTGCTATGGTCCTTCGAAGTAGTCGTTCACAGCCACCACGATGATTCGAATCTGTCGCAGGTGGTCATGTGGCAACAAGCAGGAACTTGCTACTCACTCATCTCTGCAACGATCCCCGTAAGCTTGAACTTCATCCATCGATTCAGGACAGGTGCCAGCGTCGCGTTGAGTTCGAGCCAGAAGTCTGAACGGGGCACAAATGGCTCTCGACAGTATGGAAAGATAGGAGATACACAGAGAAGCAACTTGAGTGGGTCAAAGACGTTCGCAGGTCGAGGTGCGCTGAGGATGAGACCGGACGATGTGAGCACTTCTACTAGTGCGTATCATGTTCCTGGACATTTTGAAGAGAGAACAGGTTCCCAAGAGATGTTCATAACGCGCTCCGACTCGGTCACAGTGACTAGTGACTAATACAGTATTCGCTCCTCAGTACAGTATGCTCGTCGCGATTGATCACCCAAACAATCAATATTGACATCGTTGATTTCGGACCCCTTCTCCAGTTCGGACTTTGAGATGTTGCTCCAAACGCAGTTGTGCCGGCTCGAACTCCTGGGGTTCGGCCCACTCGATGGAGAGACGTAAAAATGTGCGCTTGGAGCAGGTTGCAGCGCCTGGAAAGTGGAGCGTTCGAAGGCAGTGCAAGCTGTGTCCCTCTCTCGAGCCAGCAGGTCCTGCGACTTATGGCGTGACAATTTTTCAACTCGCACAAGGCTGCGGAACAGCGTTTCAGGAGTCCTCCTCGGAGTGATGCCAGCCAAGCTCAGTCGTCCACTGCGGTATCTTGGATGAAAAGCGCCAGATCGGGTTTGTCAGTTGTGTAGTCGTTTCGGCGTCGCCGTTCCTTGGCGTTGCAATACAAAGACCCATTCTTCGATCACCCGCACCATGTCGTACTGTTGTTAGAAGCTGAACCTGATGCCGGGAAGCTGCATAATCGATTCTGCATTGGTCTCGTGCTATGTAACAGGAACGCCCTCCGCTCGCAGGGGTATACCCGAATACTAGCGTTCAATATCGATTGCCTTCTGCCTCTAGATACATTTGGAGTTATGCTAAGTGACGATCGGGCTCGAACAAACCAGGCTCTGCGACTGTATCGTACGCCCCAGTGCAGCTGAAATTGCACGCCTCATCTAGATCGTCTACAATCCATGTGTGGCCGACTAGAAGAAGTATGGCTTGCAGAACACAATTCAACGACCTGAAGATCCTGGTCGCTGTTCCGCTGTTCGAGACGGGCCGTGAATGTTACAAATCTCTACATGTATGGGACTGGATCTCTTCTCCTTACGAGTTGTGGCTTCACTTGTCTCACTTGTGCAGACAAAATCCTACCTGTTTCACTCACTTCGAGTCCTTCCAGTATGGTTTCACTACTTTCCAAGACAGTCATCGCTCCGTCAAGCACGACAAAGTTCGCAACACAGATCACCAATCCCCCTCGACTTGAGATTCGCAGGTGGGGAGTCATGAACGACGGTGACCTATTCGCCCGACAAACCACAGCAGAGACGTGCGGGTACGTGGACGTCTATAGCGCCTGGGCCGTTACATGCGGTATAGGCCGGTATTGCGCCATTTCTTCAAGCTACGACTACGCTGTCGGAAACTTCGTATGCTGCTTAAGCGATCAATATTGCACTTATACAGAAGCCTGCGTACCCTGGACCAACCTGACCAATTCCAATTCGGAAACCAATGTCTCCATGGGCGGTTCATCTGGCTCAACAGCGTACTGGTGAGTCTCATTGCGAGTTGGAGACAGGGAAATGGCTTACTCATAAGCTCGTAGTCCGAGCGAGCAAGGCAATTGCAATACCTTCCGATCGATTGCAGCAGAGGGCACTACATATGACCACTACATTTGCAGCAGCGACGATTCTTGGATTCAGACTTTGTTTCCCGAAACGGACGACGCTAGCGCCACAATAGCGACTATCACAAGAACACGGAGTGTCTTTTTGACAATCAATGCGGCAGAATTTAATCCACGAAGACAGAGTCCGAGTCGCCTTCGGAAAGTTCTTCCCAGTCGCCCCAAACGCCTGTCACTGTCACCGTCCAGCCCGCTGGAACGCAAATCAGTGTTTCAAGCACGCCGTCGAGCACAGAATCTGCCACTACCTCGCCCGCTTCTTCGACCAACATCGGAGCCATCGCAGGTGGTACAGTTGGTGGGGTCGCGGCCTTGGCGTTGATTGGAGTAGGGATTGGAATGCTCGTCCGAAGGAAAAGGAGACAGCGAAAGGAGGCAAGGAAGGAATCTGGTCCGAACCAGGTCCATTCTCTCTGAGGTGTGGTGCAGTCGAAGTGGTCATTTGAGCGTGTTGTATGTCAGTAACTAGTTGAAGGTTCCGTTTGTCATGGAATAGTAGCTGTTCGGTTGCCCTCAAAAATATCGCATCAATACTCATATTGACGGCTTTGGTGGTAGTCCAGACTTCAGCTGCGGGCGTTTGCAAAGATAATACTTTGCATTGTCGATGTTCCACAATGCAGCAGGACTTTGTTCTAGAACGTGGAGAAGCCGTCACAATCAGGCTGCGCTAGTGTGAACCTCAATTTCCAGCCTTCGACGACTGGAGCTGGCTCTTATCTCGGATCGATCCAAATTGCCCTAAATTCAGATCAGTCTGTGCGACGCAAATGCAGTACCACTCGACTGAGTCTTTGAGCCCAACGGCACCAAAAGCGGGGATGCTCGATGGGAATTGAACCTATGTCTTCAACCTTTGTTTGGTGGCGAGTATAATAGGATGGCATACCGGGCGTTCTGCCGAACCGGGGTCGAAGTGAGCACAGCGAGAACGGAGAGCTTGCTGTTTCGAGGAAAGAACATGACGTAGAAGCGGCCACATACCGTAGGCGCTCGTTCGAAGGGTGTGACGAAGTATGATAACCAGTATTCAGGGGCGAGTGCGAGCTCGGGGCCGCTCTTCGGCATTGAAACCGATTTTCGGCACCTCTCGTTACAGACACTCGTCACAGACAGACACAGCAATCAGCCAATCGCCGCTCAGTGGTTGCTTCTTGAACCCATGGTTCACTCTTTGTCGAAGGCTCGAGAAACAACGTTGGTGGGCATGGCGCATGAGGCTTCACCATTTCGAGACAATTCTTGTTAACAAAAGTGGCTGGAAGGGGCATGCTGGCCAGGCTGCCTATCACAGAAAATGGAAAACATGCAACTTTTCATAATTGGCACACTTCAGACTTCCTGTTTGTAGAAAATGCCAAGAGTGCTGTTGAGAGAGCTCTTTGCGTTTCCAGCGCGTTAGAACTGATGCTCGGTGCTATCAGCGCCGGTCATCTTCATCGAGCTATTGCCACTGCGTATTGAATCTAGAATCCCCTGATAGTATTCTATGCCGCTCCATTTTTGGTGAGTCAAGATATCGGCCTTCAGCTGCCTCTCAGGTCGCTGGATAAGTTCCACATACGCCAACATTCCTTCATCTTTGAAGCGGTTAGACAGCTCCGCTATCATTCTGGCTGTCGAGTGAAAGCCTCCCAGTGCCACGATTTGGAGAACATATCCACACTGAGCAAGGTCTGTCGTGAAGTCTTTCAACTTTTCCAGCGACATCACCCCATCCCAATTGAAAGATGGGCTCAAGTTGTAAACAAGACCTCTATCTGGATAGGCCTGTTTGATGGGGTGGGCAAGCTGACGGGCAACCGCTAGGTCAGGAGTGGATGTTTCGGCGGCAAGGAGCTCCGCATACGGTGCAAAGGCAAGCAGGCGCTTTGTCACAGTTTCCAGAGAGCCTCGAAACCGGTAGAATCCTTCGCGAGTTCGAGGAACTTCACAAGAGAAGTAAAACGGCTGATTCACCAGCTTCTGGACAAGCTGTCGTCGTGCCGTCATAGATGTGTTGGGTGAAGTCTGGACCTCGGAAACGTAAGCATCAATGTCCTGCTGGCTGGCACCATGCCGGGTCAAATGCTCTACTGCGGCTGATACTAATTAGCCTTCATGTCGAGACACTGTAGACAGATCAATCCTTGCCTTCGTCGATTGTGACCAGTCTAACCGTTTCGAGCCAGGAAGACTCGAAAGCGTCAATTGTGGCTTTAGCGACTCCATCTGCTTCCATCGTAGACAGATCCTCAGCGAGCGGCGACAACGATGCATCTGTGACACCAAGGATAAACTCGTGGTCACGAACATCCACTGTACTGTTGATAAGTCGTGCGCCAAACGAGTCTGTCCGTGCCATCAGCAACAGTTCTGCGTTCATCACGTCCAATTGGAATCGGGCCGCGACTAAGCGATCAATCTGCTCACTCGTCGATACGACGACTTTCCCGGCAAGATGGCCGCACTTCTTAGCACCTTGGAGCTGATCTTCGATGTGGAAGGCCGCAGCACCACTTTCTGCAAACAATTTGGCAAGCTTCATCACTGTCGTTAGGCCACCATGACTAGTGATGTCGTCGGTCAAATTAGGAAAGTCTCTCTGACGTTGGGTCTGCTTCGATTTTCAACAACATACCCTGCATCGCCGTCAGCGACAATCGGCATTAGGTAGTCTTTGTACGGGGTCTTCATCTTGTCCTCCAAAGAGAGCTTAGATCGAGCATCCCACTGTTTACGATCATGGTGTTTCTCGGCCTTCCAGATCCGTTCGACTTGGTCTGGAACTGTGTTGTAGGGATAGTCTGCCAAGTCCGGGGACACCTCATTGGTGGTCGTTGCCAGCGAAGAACAGGTCCACCCAGACACATACGCACTTCTTGGTTTCCGGCCAGCTGTGTCATCTGTACAGGATCAATAACACCCACTACGCATTACGCAAACTTGGGTGTCAACACTCCTTTCAGTTTTGCATTTAATGCGTAACGAAGTGACTTACAGGTCGTGATGGCTGAGCCCGCCGCTTGGTGCTTCTTTATGAGGTTGAAAAGCTTCTGACCCATTATTGAGCTGTCGTAAGTCGATGGTAGAGAGCCTCTTTTGGTGACCACGTCGTAAGCTGTATAGGATCGTTTGATCGTATTCCACCTGGGAGTTGCCCATCGTCGCTTAAGCTCATCCAGCTGGGCTGTTAGCAATTGATGTTCCCCATTGCCAATTCTCTCTTCCAGTCTTAGAAGCTGAAATTCAGCAGCAGACTTTTTAGCAGACTCCATTGAAAGATGCGGTTACAACTCGACACAATGGGCGAAAATATAGAGTCCGAACCACTTAATGAATATTGTCTAGAAGGAATGGACGATACACGTCACTCCGGTCAGTACGTTAGGCTCAGCCTGATGCGAAGTCGGACATGGACTTAAAGTGATGTTCACCGAAAATCGCTCAAAGGGCCCATGCATGCCTCACAGTTCATCACGCATAACTTTGGACCGCACCTACCCGGTTGACGCGTAAGTTGAGAAGATTCGGCCAATGTGGACGGCATAAGAGCTTTGACAGCACAATCTATCGCTGGACATTTTGCACTGCGCTCTCAACACTAGTTAGCGAATCCAGCCGAGAATTCCCAGAACGCCCAACGAGCGATCCATCGCAAAACAGCACAAACGCAGTCCCGAAGAAGAGATGTCCTTAATCGACTTGATCCAGGAAGGTGTTCGAGTGTTCGACCTGGGAGCCGACTTATACAACGGCATGCCGCAGTCAAGCTCGAATATCCCGTACTCCTTGGCCATCTCGAAACGTCATGGCGATGTTGTAAGCTCGAACATGTCTGGCTCGAATGCTGTTATCATTTCTGGAGACCACGTCGGAACCCATATCGACGCCATTTGCCATGTTGCGAAAGGCAACAAGCTCCACGGCGGAGTAGACGTCTCCGATGCGTGTCTCGGTGGTGCGTACAAGAAGCTCAGCGCGGACACTATCGATCCCTTGGTTTGTCGCGGACTGCTCCTGGATATAGCTGCTCTCAAGGGGAAGCAACGACTAGACCCGGGTGAAGGCGTGAGCTCAGCAGATTTAGTAGCGGCGCTTAACGGCAGAAGAGTGAATGAGGGCGATGCAGTTCTAGTCAGGACTGGATGGACACAGCTCTACTCAGATACAACTGCGTATTTGGGACTTGAGACTGGGACTCCGGGAGTTGACGCGACTGCCGCGCAATGGCTCGCAGACCACAAAGTACGGGCGGCAGGCGGCGACACGATTTCCTTCGAACAAGTGTCTTTGGGGCCTAATCTTCGCAAACGACCGGTTCACGATATCCTCATCTTTCAAAACGGAATCCACATCATCGAAGTAATGGACCTCGAGGAGCTGGCCGAAGCAAATGTCACGGAATTTCTTTTTATTCTCTCGCCCTTGAAGCTACGCGGCGCGACCGCCTCGCCGGTCCGCCCTCTGGCCCTGGTTCAATACTAGAACCTACCTGCAATCAATGATATAGGAACCAGGCTTGTTCAGGGAAGAGATTAATGTAAGACGCATGTGCACTGATTTCCTCGTGCAGGTGGTTTGCACGACTTTGGCGAAGAGCACTGTTTCTTGTCATTAACTCCACGCATTGTATCCTAGACTATATAGGCTTTGACCCAGTTTTGCCACGCACTCGAGTCATCGCGATGCAATCCAAGCATAGATTTTCAATTACTCACTAGTGGGGGACGTTTCGAGAATGTATCACGTCCATATGTCACGTCATGCAATTGCCTCATCGTCGGATTAGCTGATGATTTGAGCGATGAGGTTTCGTTTTCGAGTGGCAGAGCGTGCGTGCGCGTACGGAGCGGCGAAACCGGACCGTGTCTACGATAGTCAGATGTAAGAAGTCGGCTAGCCCAAATCAAAGCTGGAGCTTCCCCATAGCCTGATCGCTTGTGTTCCGAGAAAGTCAGACTGTACTGGCGTTGAACTCGTCTGGTAATGCCATGAATACCCGGTGTCACTTGATTGTGCCGGATGCCGGCCATCCTCCAAATGGGAGAATGAGGGTAGAGGGGCAACCCAACTCCGATTTCGCTCTCGGGACCCACGACATTGAATCAGAAGAGGCATTCAAGAGCGAAACCTGGAGGAAAGCGTGGAGAAGAGACAAAAGCAGCACGCTTTCCCCGCAAGTATTGCGCGGGAATCTCACAACAATCCAGTGGGAACTCGGCATTCTGCTCTCTAGGGATTCCACTACTCGTGAAAATATCAAGAGTAACACTGCCCGCCTTGTACAAGTCATGGCCACTGGCAAAGACACGATCGAGATGCTGGAGCTTGCTCCCGAAGCAAAGGCCGACCAAGAGACCCAAAAGAAGGGCGATTTGAACGAGGATGTCGAAAGAACACCGGAAGAGGCCAGACTGGAGCGCAAACTTCTGCTCAAGTCCGATCTTATCATCCTACCTCTCATTTTCGTAACGTTTCTACTGGCCTTCCTAGTAAGCGATGGCACCCAAAGTCATTGTCCCTCAGGACTATCTTCTTAGCTAACACGCCTTAGGATCGTTCCGACCTGGGAAACGCTGCAGTAGCAGGCATGACGAAAGATCTGGGCATGTCGCCGCAGCAGCTCAGTACTGCCTCATCGATCTTCTATGCCACCTTTGTTGTATTTCAGCTTCCAGGCAATCTGCACATTAGGATACTCGGCCCTCAAGTTGAACTCGCTCTGGGATTGACGATTCGGGGTCTTTTCAACACACTGTGGGCAAATGATGCACTTGCAAGCCATTCAGTGAACGTCAACGAAGCTTACACTCCATAGCATCTGCACGGCCAGAAATTACGCTGCCGTCGTCGGGTTACGGCTTGGAATGGGCGCTGGCGAGGCATTCTTCGAAGCCGCACCGCTCTACCTTACCCTTTGGTACAAAAGAGACGAATATAGCCGCCGTGGCGCGATTACATTTAGTGCTGCTGCAGCAGCAGGTGCATTAAATGGCTTGATTGCGTATGGTATCGAAAAGAGCCTAAACGGCGAAGATGGCCTTGCAGCGTGGAGATGGTAAGGGCACAGCGTACTCTATGTCGTGTTCGAAACTGACTATAGATCTCATTACTAGGCTGTTTATTATAGAGGGGTGTTTGTCTATTGGCTGGGCTATAGTCATACTACTGCTCCTCCCCGCGGTTCCAGAGAAGGCTCGGATGTTCTTCTCTTCCGCAGAGAAGGATCTTGCGATCCAGAGAAACCGAGAAGGATACAACGAGCCGCACGCGAAAATTCGTTGGCCGGTCCTTATAGGGATTTTCCGCGACTGGAATACCTATCTCTTCGGTATGCGTTGCGGTGCTACCTCGTAACAGTGACGCTGTCACTAGCTAACGTCGAATACACTAGGAATTATCTACTCATGCGCTAATATGAGCCTTGCATCATTCAGCACATTCCTTCCTCTTATCCTCCGTACGCTCGGCTACTCTACGCTCGACGCTCAGCTTCTTACGATACCGGTCTACGTCGTTGCAACGATCTCCGTTCTGGCTATAACATACTTCTCAGACCGTTATAAAAATCGAGGCTACTTCCTAATAGGGACATTCGCGTGGCTAGTAGCCGGCTGGCTGATCTTACTTGTTAGTACTAACCAGCACCTATCCTTCGCAGGAACTTTTCTGGTTGGAGCGGGTACATATCCTACCGTGGTTCTAGGCTTCAGTTGGGTCTTGAACAACTGCGCAGGTTTCACGAAACGGTGAGCTACGCTCTTCACAAGCCACTGTAGTCTTTCAATTAGTGACTAGCGCAACAGAGCGGGTACATACGCAGTCGTCGCCATGATAGGCCAGTGCTTTGCCCTCATGGCCACCGAGTTGTACAGCGACCCACCAAGATACTATCGTGGCAACGGCATCGCACTGAGATCGGCCGTCGTAGGCTTCTGCACTAGCGCTGTGCTGGTGGTCAAGCTCAAACATGCTAACGAGCAAAAGACCAGGGTCGCAAGCCTTGAGCTCGCGCGCCGTCAGCGTTTGTTGAGTATCGAGGAGCTGGGCAACGAACATCCAGATTTCTATTACTTCATCTAATGCTATTGATCTATAATCGCAAAAGGGCGAGGCAGGTATAACCCATGGGAGAAGGGGGGAGGAGCGACTCGGAACACAAGCCCATGTCGTCAATTGAAGCACGAACTTGAAAACTCGTGGTATTGTGCACATGGTGTAGGGTCCCTCGAGAAGCGAAGTTCGCAGCGAGATTCGGCGAAGGCTGCGGCCGAGGCAAGTGGCCCTTCAGAATAGGGGATCACGGAACACAGATTCTCATTTTACTCGATAACAACACCACCTTGAGATCTATCAACAACCCAATTGATCAAGGACGTGCAAAGTACCTTGTTGTACGAGATGCGATGTCGACCGGCTAAGTGAGGATCTCGCAGCCTTACTGACCAATCCGAGCACTGACTTGGAAGGCACTGCCAATCTTGAGCAGCATGGAACCGTAGGCTCTGGCCTGTGAGTCGTAGCTAAGCCGCAGAAAAGCGGTGTTTCAAGCAGATCGATGTATCTGGCTAACGGCCGAACGTCTCCTCACTTATTTGAATCTGATGGCTGTAATTCAATTTTCAGCGTGGACTCGCTCCTCACTAAGCACAACAGGGTGATACAGGCTCTGGCAAGAATGATATGAACCCCTGCTAGTTTCTCAGCCTTTATCTAGCTATATATGGAAGAATAAGTGGGTCACCACTTTGTATGGCCTCCTTCAGCATCGATTACTGCCTGACATCTTTCCCTAATACTCTAGCAGATCCTTAATATATTAGATGTCGACAGCCTTGTCTATTCAGTCTGTACAGCCTGAATAACCTCTGCCCTTATTGTAGGGAAATAAAGCCTAACCCTATACTTTAAAAGACTCTAAAGATTCTTAATTAGATTAAGATCTAGTAAGTTTGCTAGCCATGTAAGGAGCTGTATATAACAGTCCTTAAACAAGGCTAATATAGCCTTAGCCTTGTGAATAGATACGTTGTCTTATATTACTAAAGACTGCTATTAGAAGATACCCTCTTATTACTACTTTTAGTAAGCAGCCTGTATTAATAGAACGATCTTCTAACGGTAGATATCCCTATTAATTGATCCAGTATCGAATATAGTATATTCCTTCGGTCTATCTACTAATATGTAGCCCTAAATTATACAGGCTAAGTACTTACGGAAGCGTAGTATAATATAGTCTATATAATAGGCTTTATTAACCGTTCTTGTTATATAGACCTATCCGAAGTAGCTACAGCAAATTAAGGCTTTATTAGTCTACAAAACCCTTAACTACTGCCTATCTGTCTAGTCGACGTACTCTTTTACCTATTATAGCCGTACTGCCTTATATTTATCCGTAAGCTATAGCTTCTTTCTTACTATATATCGTTAATAGCCTTCTTTTACAAGTGCTACTCGAATCGTCCGGAAGTTATAAGAAAGGTCCTTAAGGCGCGTAATTTAATCTAGTCTAAGCCGCCTATAATAGGTATTAGTAGTTAGTCTGTTTATAAGACGACGTCGTTTACGGGTTATAATTATAGGAGGGCGTCCTCGTCGGGGTAGTGTACGTAGTTCGCGTTCTAGGCGTGTAATAACCTAAGATATAGCATATTTTAAGGTATCTAGTTTCTTAGTAATCCGCTAAAGTAGCTAGTATACGTGCTTATAAAGGGCCTATATCTAGCCCTTCTTAAAGGCTAAGAATATCCTCTTTAGTATTACTATATCGAAGAATGTAGGAATCAAGACGCGTACAGCGTGTTTTAAAGCAGGCCTATAATAACAACTATATATAGTTAGTAGAAGGAATACTACTAGTAGGGGTTTATATTATTCTTACCAGAGCCTGTATCTACAGTTAAACTCGCCTAGTATCTCTTCAAAAGACTGTATTAGCTTGGCGCGGAAGCTGTTCACGGGGTTCCGGAGACTATAATTTGACCCTCCTCGACTACGTAGAGGAAATTCGATCGTCGTACGAAGCTGAGTCATCTTACACCAGTGGTGAAAGGAAAGGGGCTATTAGCGTCACTGACCCCGCCACGTGGCTGGTGCCCTGTGCCCCACCGAAAATCCTCCGAAGTGAAGTTGAGATGACGAGCTTCGCATTTCTTGCCTTGACAACTTTTGACCGCCCAACCATAATTGCATGCTGACGAGGCTGCCACACATTTCCATCAACACCCTCACCAAGAACATCCACATCGGCTTCCGCAAAATGGCCAACGTCGCGGATCATTATAACGGTAAGGCTCCTCAGTGCACCCCACCACAGCTTCCATTCCTGACATGTGACAGACCCCGTCTCGATCGCCGTCATTGGCGGCACCGGCCTCCAATCTCTCCCTCACTTCACCCACGTCGCCACCCTCAAACCCTCCACCCCATGGGGCACTCCCTCCTCGCCCATCTCCATCCTCCACCACCCCTCGCCCTCCACCGGCAAGCCCATCCCCATCGCTTTCATCTCCCGCCATGGCCTGCACCATGAGCTCGCACCTCACGAAGTCCCTGCCCGCGCCAACATCGCCGCCCTCCGACACCTCGGCGTACGCACCATCATCGCCTTCTCCGCCGTAGGAAGCTTGCAAGAGGAGATCAAGCCACGAGACTTCGTTGTGCCAGACCAGATCATCGATCGTACGAAGGGAATCCGCCCATTCACGTTCTTCGAAGGCGGCATGGTCGGTCATGTTGGGTTCGCAGACCCCTTCGACAACAAGGTCGGCAAGATAGTACGGCAATGCGGACACAGCTTGGAGGGTGAAGGAGTGAGACTGCACGACAAGGGCACGATCATCTGCATGGAAGGACCACAATTCTCCACCCGCGCAGAGAGCAACATGTACCGCTCCTGGGGTGGCAGCGTGATCAACATGTCTGCATTGCCGGAAGCCAAGCTGGCGAAAGAGGCTGAAATCGCATATCAGATGATCTGCATGAGCACGGATTACGACTGCTGGCATGACAGCGGCGACGTGACGGTCGAGATGGTCATGGGGAACATGAAGGCGAACGCGGAGAACGCGAGGAGATTTGTCGGTGCGGTGTTGGATGAGTTGAGCAAAGAGGAGCACAATGAAGTCGTGCTGGCGAAGCACTTGGAGGGTGAGATGAAGTTTGCGGGTGGTTTGACGGCCGCTCCTGGAAGAAGTGCGGAGGCGAAGACGAAGCTGGGGTGGTTGTTCCCGGGTTACTTCGATTAGAGGGATGAGGTGTGATTGCCGACGTGGGAAAAGTTGACAAATGGCTACAGAATAGATACCCTGCCTCGATGGCTAATGAGAATCAATCAACTTGATCATTCGACGTTCTCTGATAAACGATAGATCTTCGAACAATGCAACTGCCCTTACAGTTGACGAGTTTCTCCTTCGACAGACGAAAGGGGAAATCGCATATCCAGAACCGAGGTATTACCATCAACGTAGCACAACGCTGATACCACTGGCTTGTTTCAGACGGTCCGGACGAACCTCTTACGAGCACAAAGCCCAAGAAGAACAAGCCTCAAACGAAGACGTTCCAAGAATATTAAAGTGACAAGAACATGAAGAAGCACTTCAAGCTTCGATCCTCTCTCGCCGCTTTTCGGTCCACTGACTTACCCAGCCCTCCTTGACGGGCAACTTCCTCTTTTTCGACGATGAAGATGTCCTTCTTCAAACAACTCGCCACGAACAGCATCAACCCAGAGTCTCTGGAGACGATTGAACCTGAAGATTTGGTTGATAAGAGCATCGACTACATCGACCGCGAGCTGGACTTTCGATTGTTGCAGAGAAGCTACCGACGACTGAAGCGATGTATTGCTTTTCTCGTTGCTTTTCTGGCGCTTGCTGTGGTGGCGTTGGCCATTTCAGATCGTAAGAGGAGTGGGATGGGTGAGCATGAGTTGAGGCCGAAGTATCCTGTCCCCGAGCGTAAGTCTCCTGATACTATGTGAGAAGTTCTGGTGCTCATGGGTTGATGCAATAGTTCCATGGACGGCAACTACCTTCGAGAAACACGACCTTTTTTCCGCCCCCTCCAACGCCGAATCCGATGAAGCCTGGGCGTCCCTCATGCCAGTACGTCGCTTACCATCCCCTCAAACAAACAAGTCACTGACTCTTTCGACAGCCCGGGGACGGCTTCCTCCTCCTCCCCACCATTGTCACAACGCCCGCCCACCTCCCCCCAGGCCAAAGCCACCCTGCAACCAACACCTCCACCCTCTACGACACAACCCTCTTCCACAGTCTGCACTGCCTGATCCACATCCGCACCTCGCTCTCCACCCTCATCGCCTCCATCGCCCATGACAATACTCAGCTAGTTTACGAGCTGCTGGTCAAATCACAAGAAGAACATGTGCGACATTGTTTCGATTATCTGCGGCAGGGCGTTATGTGTCAAGGGGATTTGACGTTGGAGTGGCCGAGGACGGAGGACGATGGGAGTGGACGGAGGTTTGCGGTTGATGGGTGGGGGGTTGGGCATGTTTGTCGGAGTTGGGTGAGTACTCTGGTGGGTTAGGGGTGAGATGGGGGTTGTGCTGACTTGTGTGATAGGATGCGGTTATGGAGTTTATGGAGGAGCATTCTGTGACCAGACACATGAACGAATGATTTTCTTGCTGTTCAATGTGATCGACATCAAGCGTAGGGACAGACTGTATGAACACCGTCACGAACAATTAGCCAATTCATGAGCAGAGACGCCTCCTCTCAGTAACAAGTCAGGACGACCTTCCATGCTCTATCGAGACACTGACTTTGCTTACTGCACATGGCACACACATTCATACACGCCTGTACAGCCCAAGAGTGTATATGAACGGCTTGCAACATCTGGTGGCTCGCAGTGTGGCTCTGCCCACAGGGATCGTGTCTGGTCGTTCGGGGAGTTCATCGATTCTGCGCGCGAACCAATAGCACGGCGCAACCGGATTTTATATCCTGCGAGGCCAGACTTGGCCCAAGAATCTGTAGGATTAACGACAGCAATCTAGTCCCTTGTCTTTCTTGCATTGACCAATTGTTGTAGCATACGTGCGCATACAGATGCAATTGGTGCATTTGCGTGGCTCAGCGTGAAAGATCCTCTGCCGGTAGCATACTGCGGCAGCTCGAATGTGCATCTCTCGAGGTGAGACAATCAAATACTACCTGGTTGAATGCTATCGCACATGATACTGTGTGCTCACCGTAAGGCTGCAAACGCGAGCTGGCACCACGCAGAGCATAAGGGAACCCCTACCAGCTCCAAAACGTCGCAGTTAATCAGACCACGACGATCAGACGACCGACAAAAACGCATATACCCCCATTGGGATAGCTCAAACTACGAGGGGGAATGAACAGACGTTGCAGGACCTTTGCAGTCCAATAAGATGATTGACTCGGATTGCACAAGGGGCAGTAGGAAGTGGCTCAGCTTAAGAGGACACCTGCAACCAACATCGAGGAATTGGAAAAAGGTCCTGCTCTGAAGGTGAGCCAATGGAATCGTCGAACGCCATAGCTACCTTTGCTGCCTCCACGCTATATCAAATGGTTGCATCGTTGTGGTCTGACTGTTTCGCCCTTGACAGCCTCAGCTTCACAAACACGAACGGCACGTTGTTGTGACCGTGATCCGGATAATACAACCAGAGCAATGAGAAGAATATGTAGAATGGGACTCGGCGCGTAAGTATCGAGCAATTGCGATCAAATATTACAGAAAGGTATGCTGCAAGCGTTCGCAGAGCCCATTCCAGCCTTAACAATATGAGCCTTTCTGGAGTTCCATTTCCAAATAGATCGCCGCCTGTCTACAAAGTGCCCAGCGAGAAGACTTTGCTAGCGAAGTGGGAACCACAGAATCTCTCACTAACGAGTCCCTATGCCATTTGTCGCTGGCCATGTCCACCGTATTGTGGCTCTGCAGTAGGGGCGATGCTGCGCAAAAAGTCTGGAAATTCTGCGACTCTGCAGATGCGCCAATGACATCTACTGAACTTGCTTGTATGTGGAGCAACATGTCTACCCTTTGGGGCTGAGGAGACACAAACAAGAGTTTGGCCCCTTGGCTGCCTTTTGTTTGTCGACCAATCGGTGGATAGCTACGGATCGCACAGGACAGATCTGGTGGCTCTGCGCGAAAAGGGGAACTGGCTTGCAGATACAAGATTCTTAAAACGCGACACCTCTCGACATGAGCCAATTACATAAGGGGGTGTTGCGGGCGGCTTCGTGTGAGGCCGCCCTTTGAGGACAGTAGCCACGCAGCGAGAGCTCCGACTTGACCAATGGCAGAAGGAATGCAGAATGAGGCTTGCATGAGGGTGGCTCGTATCATGTGTGAGTGATGTGCTAAATTTTAGAAAATCTACGGTTCTTGTTGCGAGCCAATCAAGCAGTCGAGAATTGGGCACGGCTTCAAGTACGTTCCTTGCGAGGCCAGCTGGTGTGGGTGAGGCGGATGGATTTTACTAAGCTTTTGTGTCACCGCAAGGCTTCCCCTAATTCGACAGCGATCGTCTAAGAGCCGACCCTGACTCGCTTAGATCCCCTGTGGTGGCTCTGCGGTTTGATATGTGACCGCTAATGTTTTGTCCCAATTCGGGAATCGGCCAACTCTTGGGACGGGCCTATGAGGCTTCAGGACAGCAGGTCTTGGCCTGTGAGGCCGGCTCTGATTGCACTACTTTCTCCCGCAGCGTCGTCACTAGGATCAACACAGCAACATGGGTCCTGGGCCTTACACCTCTTGCATCGACCAGTCGTCGGAGCGTACATGGGCATCGAAATAGGAGAGGTGCATGCCGAGCGTGGCTCTGCTCAGGAACCACCGCGTCCTCGATGGCTGAGTGTGTCAAAAGTGTGGCCTCTTTCGCTGTGAGCCAATGAGACGATAGCAATGGAATGCAGCTTCGTGTGAGGCCGCCTCTCCCCATGTGTTAATGGTTGTCGTTCGAGCGTGATGCATGGTCCAGTCGGTGCATGCAGCGGCGCATGCGCGGAGACCTTACTATTTATAACCCGAATGTGGATCTGCATACGGGTGTGCAGCTCGTATCATTTGGGGAAATTCAGCGATTCTCATAGGGAGCCAATGACAAGTTTCAGGGTTGGACACGAGGCCGTGTGAGGCCTGCCAGTACTCGTGTTTGGATCAACGTCCGAGATCGTGACTACCGTAAGGCTGGAATAATCTGACGGAAGTCCAAACGGTATCGTCAACCACCAGCGGCTGTGTTCGTCAGAATTTCAGAGGCTAAAAATCGCGGCTCTGCTCGAATTGGAGTGACGAGCGAAACCTCAAGAAAGTCGAGTCTGGCGGCTCAATTCAATCGAATTGAACAGATTGAGCGGACAGAACGGGAGGCTGCTCTACATACACGTCTAAGATACCTCGGAATCTGTGGCAAAGTTGCAGCAGTATCACACTGACGATCTGGTCAATCCTATCTGAGGCTCTCGAGACACCTTGTCTATGAAGTCTCAAGCAACTGGAAAGCAAAGGAGACCTTTGACCGGGTGTATGTCCTCCTGACAGTGGACAGCTGAGGGCACGGGGTTTAAGCTGTGAGCAGTAAGTTTCGTGTTTGATCACAGCGCAGTGAAGTCACCATACACCCACGCTCTGGCGTGTTTGAGCGGGCGGAGTAGTCGGAAAGGTGGGCGCAGTACGGTGCACACTTCTCTCAGCCTTGCCCCTGAATCCAAGAAGTGCAACACCATCAACAGAATTTTCTGAAATATCGCTGCCGATTGTGGCTCTGCATCCAACGCAACGGCGTCCGTCACTGCTCGAAATTGCAGAAAGCTGGAGCTCTTGGTACGAGCCAATAGAATGGCCGACGGTCGTTGTCCTCTTTTGATGCCACACCGAGGAACCAAAAGCTGAGGAATATCGTAGCTCTCGGGGCGAGCCAATGAAATTTGCCAAAGCAGATTCAGACCACTTTCAGCCAGCTCGTTGAGCGATCAGACAATGCTCAGCCAACGGTATCCCTGTGCGATTTGGAGCAGCAACAATATCTCCGGAGTCCTGATGTCTATGCTGGCGCAACTTGTATCAGCGTCACGACGTGTAGACGAGGAAAAGTGGCTCGTATCCCGGCTTTTCTGCACACTGTTACCGGCAATTGTGTAGTACCCAGTTATGAGGAAGCTCATCGCAGAATCCGACAAGTCGAGAAGCTGAGAGAAGTAGTAGGGCTTGGGATGAGCCGGTACGATAGTTAGGAGCAGGAACGTAGCTTAACCACCGAGACTCCCTTGAGGTGGCTCAGCTTCACGTCAGCACCTCCAAAGCACCTCCAACAAATCCGAGGAAAATTGGAGCTCTCAGAATGAGCCAATCAACCTCGTTGAAGTTTGGAACTGCTTCATCGCCGGGTTCGATAGTGTTAGTTCGATGGAAGGCCTCCATGAACCCCTGACAGCTCGGTGGACTAGCTCGCGATACACGAGCTGGGTTGAGATTTCCAACAGCACGAGCAATTGCTCTTCTCACCTGGAGTCTTCACTAGGGTTTAGCACAGACGCATACATACGTCAAGAATGTTAAGGGGCGGCGCAGCTCAGCGAATCGTTCATATTGGCGAAAACTGGGAAAACTCGTAGGTCTCGACGTGAGCCAATGAGGCAACACGAGGCAAACAATTCCCTAAAGCAGCGTGGCTCAGCCTTTTAATTTGCACAATCCCTTCCACGAAATTTGGAGAAATTTGGAGCTCTTCCAACGAGCCAATGAAGTCGGTGGCGAGTGTCGGAGCTGCCTCCATGTCGAACTCAGGTGCTTCAGTCTTGTTTTCAACTTTTGGAACCCTTGACAGCCTTGTCGCCAAATCTGCTGTATATACATGGGCTATAAGTCCTAGCAGCACAACGGACCGCTAGAGGTTTCTAGAGCATTGACCAATGCATCGACTAACTAGGCCCAGGACCATTGAAAGCGGGTCAACGAGTGCTGCTGGTTGTATTAAGCCGAAGAAATGTAGAGCTCTCGGCATGAACCACTAAGGAATCATGCGCTTGGACCGGCAGGGGGCTTAGCTCACCGCTAGCGCCGCCGAAGAATTCGAGAAATGACTTGACTGTCGGAATGAGCCAATGAGATTGACTAGGGAGGAATGGCTCCTACTAGACGGTTGTTGTAGAGGAAGTCCTTGAGTAGACCTCAGCCCTGTTTCCTTACGCTGATATCTTCTCTGTGCACTTGCAGATGTCTTCCCTCGGTGTCAATGCTAGGTATCGCCGAATCGACTAGAGACATCGCAGATCCAGGTTCCCAAACCGGTCGCACCAAGGCACTTCAAGCTAACACACAACTTTGAGAGTCCTTGCAGCTCTGCAAATGCGCTAATCAGACGGTTAAAACAGTAACGGCTCCTATAACGGCACAAAAGTAGTTGGCCTCGGGCGAGGTACCCGTCTATCCATGTATAGGAGTCCCACTGACGGCAGGATTGCATAATCGTAGCTCTGCCTTAAAAGAAGCCCAAGCGCCTGCATGAATGATCGCCAAAAACTCGCGATTCTCCACACGAGCCAATTAGAATAGGTCTCGGAGATCGAATTGGGCTTTACCGTTCAGAATACGTAAGATGTCGCTCGACTGAATGTCAGCCTGGTTTATCTCAAGCGCTGCAGGGCCGATCGGATCACAATCACCGATACCCTTATCGCTGTGTGCTCATCATTGGCAGCGTTCGATGCAAGCGAAAGGAGCGCAGAATCGTGGCTCTGCTCGATCGAGGGTGGTGGCTTGATTCTCAGAAAAATCGCACTTCTCGCCGCGAGCCAATGAGACCAGTCCGTACAATCTTCAATCATGCTCAGCCTCGTGCCACAATCCACCCAAGAGCGACAAATCAGCGAAGCCTCTCATGCTAGCAGCAGAGATTTCAAGTTGGTTATGGGCTTAACTTGGTGTCGACCAATTGCAGTGGTTCTAGGAATGGGACATCTGCTTCATTGTGGCCGTCGCAAGGTCACCCTTGTCGCTGAATTTGAGGAATACTGCTTCTCTTGGGATGGACCAATCAGGGTATTCAAAACAATGGCCCATGGGTTTGTGTCTAGAACGTTTGCTAAAGTGCGAATGAGCTCTGCGACGGGTTCGACTTTACAATAAATGCCCTATCATCCCTCGTCAACAAGTTTACCATCAGATATACACCGCCTTCAACTCCCCCAATCCTCAACCACCCTCCCCTACCATAACCTCCCCAGCCCATCCCCTCAACTCCAATCCGCCCTCCCATCCACCCCACACCCCACCAACGCCCTAAACTCCGCCAAGCCTCTCCCGAGTTCATACTCTTTCACACTGACATCCATCTTCATCCGCGTCGCCTCCGAAAACCGATTATTCCCCGCCGCAGAGATGACACTCCCGCCATCGTAGTAATTCCCCCCACCGATCGAATTGATACACGACATCGAGAAGCCGTGGCTGGTCTGGTTCATGGCGGAGGCTTGCGTGAACTGAGCTTGGAGAGTCGCGAGTTGGATTTGTTCTTTGAGGGAGGTGATTGTGGCGAGGAGGGCGGTGACGTGGGACATGATGGTTTGGGATTGGGAGGCGAAGCGTTGGAGCCAGATTTCCGCGTTTGTTGCGTCGGTCGAGGCTCGTGCGCAGGCTTCTTTCCAGGCGTGGCGGACGCCTTTGATGGCCATGTCGCAGGTTTTGTGGCCGGGGTTGGGGTCGATGATGGGGGTGAAGGAGGTGGAGAAGGGAGATGGGGCGATGGAGGTCTGGTAGCAGGAGGGGCAGATGTCGAGGTCGGGGGCGACGAATGTGATGTAGATTTGGGAGCCTTGGATGAGGTCGAGGCCGTTGCAGCCTGGGGAAGGTGAGGAGGTGGTCTTTGCTGGTGGTGCTGGATGTGAGGTTACATTCTGATGCTGTTGTTGCTGTGATTGTTGTCGTGGAGGGAGCGTTGGAAGCGAATGGACCTCTTGTTGCTGATATTGCTGCTGAGACTGTTGCCTTTGTGGTCGCGGAGGAGGCGGTGGAAGCGAACACGTCTGTTGTTGCCGGTAGTCCTGCTGTGGTTGTTGCCACTCGAGCCGCTCCTGCGACGCCGCCGACGCATATCCTCCCTGCTGCTTCGCAAGCGCCTCCCTCTGAGCCAGCGCCTGCTGCTCCTTAGCATTCTGATACCCCTCAACAGCAGCCTTCGCAAGACCCTGAAAGAATCCCGGCATCTTGTCGATCGTTCCAAGAGTGCTTAGCTAGACACAAGCACAATGCTTGTCTTTCAGATCAGCGGACGGACATGAGCTCCATCATAAAGCCAGACCTCCCAAGCATTTGCTGTGAGATGGTGGCGGGGTCAATACCGCGTCTCGGTAGGTTGATAGAAAGACATCCAATGGTTTGTGGTAGGTTCAGCCCCGGAACGCCACGCTTCGATCATGTGCTGCGGGAAGCTGGTTTGATTGATCAAGAAGTGACATTCGGAGGGCGTGCGCCATGGGGCTCGAATCCACAATAGAGCATGGCAGGCACTGTTGTCCGAAGGCGTGGCAGTGTGAGACAGTCTGGATCGTGTCTACTGCCATCGTCCCATCGGTCCAGCCCGGCATTGCGAATGCTTTAGTCAGTGACAAGCTCATGTTTGCGAAGCAGCTAATAGCCGTGATCTGAGCTCATTAGTCTGGACAGTATCAGCAAAAACGAGGCGAATGAGCCATGGACGGAGCGAAGACGTCGTTGCCTCGGGGGTATCTCAATCAGCAGTACTGTACATCTATACAAACCATCAAACTCACTTATAATTAGCTCGCGCCCACAGCATCTTTAACATCCCCCTTGACCTTCTCAACCGTCTGCGCAAGGCTACTAGTCCCCACCATCTGTTGTTGCTGCGACTTCTGCCTCAGATACAAAGCACTCGCCACACCCATCAAAATCCCCCCAACATGACCCGCATGATCAATCCTCGTCTTCATGCCCCGAATCGCCGCAATCGCCTCAGCAGCACCAAAGAGGGCGAGGAAGACCCATGCCGCGATCGGGATATCGTATCCAGCTACGCGGATCGTGCCATTTGGGCGCAATGCGCAAGCAGCCGCAAAGACGCCCAAGACGCACCCTGAGCTGCCTAGGATGTAGGCCGAGAATTCCTTGCGGAAGACGTTGTAGATCAGGGAGGAGTAAGCGCCGAATACTCCCGATGCGAGGTAGATGGCCAGGAAAGTGCCACGGCCTACGTCTTCGTGGAGGAGCAGACCGAAGACCCAGAGGCAGACGAGATTGCTCGCCAGATGGGCGACTGTGTCGTGACGAAACAAGGCGCCTACCAGGCTCACTGCATACGGATAGGCGGGCACCAAGGTCATGTATTTGCTGTATGTTCTCCAGAGTGGCGGTATGCGTCCCATGATGAATGTCCAGAGCAGTACACTGGTAAGGGCGCCTATGGTGGCCACAGCTGGGGGTGTGTCCGGCCAGATCCGAGCAGATCGAGGCGGTGGTGTGTAGTTTTCGCTCAGGTAATAGCAGCCCCCCAGGACCAGCAGAAGAACTACAAACGGAGGTCCAAATCTTTGCAGTGAGCTGATGTTCGGGATTGTGTGCTCCTTGATGATCTGAGCTTGTTCTTCGTAGTACTTGACCCAGGGCTTGCGCTCCACGGGCTGTGATAGCCATGCTTTAGGCGCCGGAGGGCGTATCGTGATCTTGCCTCCGAAGGGTGATCTCACAACTTTCATGTCAGTGACCTGAGCACTGGGCTGGACCCCCGCAGCGAGTTCGAGTGGGCCACGAGTGCTGTGCACGGCCGCGATTTTGGCTTTCTCTTCTGCTGCTTTCCGTGCGAGCTCGTGCGCCTCATGCCGAGCTTCATTCTGCTCCCGTACAGACTGCAGAACACTTTTGCTCGTGCGGTCTTGCTCTTCATCGGCCGCTTGCTGTTGCCGAGCTTCTTTATCGTCTACTTGCTGCTCCTCCTCTTCCGGGATCGCTTTATAGAACCCGAGTTTCACGGCTCGGTCCTGAATCTCCTGCTGCAACCTTTCACTCTCCTCTTGAACCCACACTTCTCCATTGGTCGCCTCATCCACATTCGGATCGACACTTCGCACGTACTGAAGTCCCTTCAAGGCCATCTCTTTGCTCACTCCGCTAGCCTCCGGGAACTCCACTCCAACGTCGATCAACGCCCCGGACTCACGTCTCCAATGCAAGACACATAGGACATAATTGCCAGTGTCGACGTCGATCTCTTCGCTGTTGAATATGGCATTAATCTCTGGCTGCGTCCTCTCCCCATTGGGAAGCGGCATCCCACCCAGAGGGTCATAGTCCCGCCATGTGAGTTGCTCTTCCTCTGCGACCACACCCTCGGTGTGAGAAGCAACCGTTTGGCTTGGCTCGAGTCTCGAGGCAGGAAGTCTAGACTTGAATTCCGAAGGCGAGGGAGCTTTGGCAGAACGTTTCGCATTCAAGCTTTTTCCTCGACTTGCGTAGAGGTTTTGGGCTGAGGAGAACGACCTCCTAGCATTCTGAACCGCACCGGAAAGCTGGGATCGGGTCGCTCGAGCGGTTTGCGATTTTTCATAGCCATTGAAGAGATGCAGAAGGGGTTTCGATCGGGTTTGTCGTGCGGCGCATGGCCCGCTGTGTACTATCGCGTTCCAGACATTGTTCATCGCAGCAGCGCTCGTCTTCCAGCAGGAAAGGGCAGTATTCCACGGAATGTTAGACAGTGAGCATGTTTCTGGAGAGGTGAGGTCAACGATTCGAGATTCATTCACTTGAGCGCGGAATTGCGGCGCTCGCGGAGGTGCTCGAGCCAGAGGCTGTCCTTGCTTTGAGGACCCCACGTCGTCGACGCAATCACAAGCTGCCTGTTCGCTCTCGAAATAGCACTGCGAGACTTGATCAAACGTACAACAAAACACTGCCGTCAACCCACTCTCAACTACCACTCCAACAAACAGACCCCACACGCCAGCGACATCACCACCTCTCCCCAACCCCCCAAAATGCCCACCCACAACCTTCCCCCCGACGCCTTCCAAACCTTCAGCGCCTCGACCCCCATAACCCCCGCCCTCTTCGCCACCGCCCTCCGCGACCTTCCCCTCGAAACCCTCTACGCCAGAGCGGCCGAGCTCCAAAACTCCATCTCGCACCTCCTCTCCTCCAACATCCAGATGAAACCCTTTGCGGACGCGGGCGACGCGGATTGCGTGGACGCGATTCGCGAGAATGATGAGGTCGTGAGGAGGTTTGAGGAGCGGGTGGGGTTGTGTAGGGAGGAGGCGGAGCGGAGGGGGTTGGGGTGGAGTTTGCATGGGGCGGATGAGGAGGGGGTGACGAATGGGGAGGGGGTTAATGGGAGTGGGAGTGGGAATGGGAGTGGGAGGTTGAGTGATGAGGAGTTGAGGAGAAGGTTGGAGGCGCAGATGGTCCAGGAAGAGGAGGGGGAAGAGGAGGATGGGGTGTATTTGTGAGAGGTTGAGGGCGAGAGGGTTAGCAGAAAGCTGGAAAGGCAAGACATCGATATGGAGCCTGCACTGCTTCGAAGGAGCGCAGACATATCCTGTGCGTAGACATTACCCATGTCGCGACAACACAGACGATGTACTGGCGTCAGTAGACGGAGCGAGATGGGATGTTGATGGAGGGAAACTCAGGAAGATGCGACATGGGAATGGGGAAATGAGCGACGAAACCATGCTGGAAAGGCACGCTGAAGAAGAACAGCCCGCGAAGAGATTGGCGAAGTGAAAAGTGTGATCGCTGAAGAATACTCTATACACGCTATACGTCTGCCCTTGATGCTGGCGTTGTCACATGGTGCTTTCCATTCCACTTTGGTGATTCCAGCTGCAAAACAAGAACGCCCGCTCGAACGCAGCAGACAGAAAGCCTCGTAGCCACTCGAAGTGCGGCTTACTCGAGAGCCCTTAAATCCAAAGGCACACTGCTCCCTCTTCCAGCCCGGTATCTCTTTGGACCACCTGAAAAGTCTCTTGGCCTGGGAAGCGCATCGTCACCTTGAAACTTCCACCTCGAATCTTGCACGACATGTCGTCCACCAAACCCACCTCCAATACTTTGAGGCGTCGAATCAGCCCTCGATCGTCCATTCGTCAATGTATATGCTGAAGCGTCCATTGGCTGAATTGGTCCAGTCCCCAAACTCACACCTCCTGCAGTTGGTATGCCCCCTGGTGTGCTCGCTTTAGGCGCTGGTGGTGGGGGAGGTAGGTTGGAGTTGCTTCGACTCGCTGGTGGAGGCGGTGGAGGCGCAGGCGGCCCACTCGTGGGACTTGAGCTCGGTCGGCTGGGCGGTGCACTCGGTGGCGGTGGGGGAGGAGCAAGAGCAGGCGTGCTTTGTGAGGGAGGTGGCGGTGGTGGTGGAGGAGGCGCAACGGCGGGAGATGCTGCGCGGAATGCGTTTCGCGCAGCTTGTGCCGCGAGTGATGTCTGCTGGTGGCCGTTTGTTTGAGGAGGCGGCGGTGGAGGAGCTGGAGGGACCCCGCGCCCAGGCGTATCATATCGATAAGGATCATATTCATCATCGTCTTGAGCATTCGAGGTTCTTCGTTGTGTAGGTGGCGGAGGCGGAGCAGGTATTGAAGGCGCGGAAGGAGCAGGCCGCGAAATCGGAGCTGGGGGTTGTTTGGGCGCGCTTTGTGGGAGAGGGGGCGGCGGTGGCGCTGATGGTGGCGCAGGGCTCGAGGAAGGTCGCGGCGGGGTGGACGAAGGAAGAGGTAGGTTTGTCGTCGACGCGGCACTTAAGCCCGAGGGCTTTCGAGAGGTAGGCGGTGGAATTGGTGGTTTCTTGCCAATCGGAGGAGGCGGTTTCGGTTTCGAATGTGCAATGTCGGGAAGTGACTGCGAACTCGTCGGTCGTAGGTTGTTCTTTAAGGCTGCAACTGACGGTATCTGAGGTGCTGCTCCCGGCGGTGCAGGCGGAACACCTCCAGGTCTGGGGGGAGGTGCGCCGTTCGGTCTGGCCGGTGCAGCTGGGGCTGGCGCTGAAGGAGGTTTCGAATTCGTCTCGGGATCTGAATCGTACAAGTTCACACCTCCTGCACTTTTCCGCAACTTTGGCATGCCCTGCGCGAATAGACCTCCCAATTGCGGCGCACTCTCCATCCCGGCTCCAGATCCCGCGGTGTTGCTCGGTTGGTCGCTGTTACTCCTTGCCCTGTTTTGGCCGGCTGCCGCAGGTCGCAGTCCTCCGGGGATTGGTATCGGCGGTGCTCCTCCAACTGGGGGCCCGCCTGAATCCTTAGGCTTGTCGATTATCGGTGCTGAACGATCATTGACTTGTGTGACCTTCTTCAGCCTCGCGCCTTTCTCGATGTCTCCCAGAAGCGCGCCCTACACGGTATCCCATTAGCCACTACATCCTCCATACAGCTCCCTTCTGATCGTGTGACGTACTCTTCCTTTTGCTGCCTTCGCATCGGGTCTCGAGGGTAGTCCTCCGGGCGGGGGAGGTGGTGGGGGCGGAGGACCTGTCGCGATGAGCCAATGCTTCTTTCATTGTATTCAAAGTATACAACGTACCTCCTGCTGCTCCAGGCATGGGCGGCGGAGGCGGAGGGGGAGGCGGCGGAGCAGGCATGTCGGCGCCTCGTGGTGGTGGGAACTGTGGACGTCGCCTATTCTCCTGTATCCCCTTCGCCGGTCGTATCTGGCCCTGCAAGTGGGTTATTGGACTTCTGCCGTAGTCTCGAGCGCAATTTGAGGGAGGCAGAAGTAAGGAAGAGGATGTCGTGAAGGGATGAGTTCGTGGGAGGCCTTCGCGGTGCCTGATGATGTATGTGCCTCTCCAGCCACGCGCACAGCCGCACTTCTGCCGAACTCCGAATCGACGGTCCTGCTGCTCCGTTGACTGCATCGCTTGCATATCAACACTAATACGACCAAACAGCGCAATGGAGATCAGACGAGTGGCCGTCTGTCGAGACTGTCTGTCTGCCCTACGACAGCCTCATCTGACTTCTCGCGTACCCTCCGTCGCGCAGCAGTGGCACGGAAAGACATTTGCGACTGCACCAACTCCCTACCGAGCCAGACCCGTGCCCGTATCACCAAAACAGGCTACACAGCTCCGCCAGTTGTCCACTGAATCACGACGACCTCCACCGCCGCGGACGGAGAAGAGCCCTGCGAATCTTCAAGCCATCCACTCCCGAGTGCAAGAGCTGTCGAGCTCAGTCCTCAAGCCCACCGACGGCCCAATCCCACCAGAGCAAAGAGTGCTGTACGTGTTGGAACAGCTAGAATCTTTGGCACAGAGAGTGCTCGATGATGTTCACTCTGAAGAGCAGCAGAACAAGAGACCGGCTCAGGGCAAGCAGCAGCAAACAGCCACATCTGCATTGTTGGGAAGCGTCAACGCAAGACAGTATCCCGCCTTCATCTCGCAGGCAAGCGTCCTGAACATCATCAGTGAAAAGGCGGAAGAGATCGTTCGCCACCAGAACGTCTTCCTCACGGCTGGCATTCTCAAGGCTTACGTGCAACTACAAAGTTTGTTGAACCGACCAAGTAGCTTCCCAGACATCTTCGACCTCTACGCCAAGAAGCCAGCTCCCAGACAGAAGGGCGATGGTGTTGAATATGCGCCCGCTAACCCAACCAAGATCAGCGCCGCAATCGATTCGAAGACTGCCAATGCTGCCCTCGAGGCGGCTATTGAGTCACATAGTCTTCCATTGGCCATTGATGTCATCACCACCTCTTTCTCCGCGCCTGCCTTCAAGCGAGCCAAGATTCTGCGACAGGCTGCCATTCCCATTTCTGGTCTTGCTGTGGCCCCAGCAGCCGCCTATGCCCTCTCTACCACGTTCTCCGACTACCAGCAGTCAATGGATGCTGGAACAGCAACAGGCGTAGCATTCGCAGGAATCATGACGTATGTTGGAGCAGTATCCATGGTGGGATATGTGGCTGTCACCACCGCAAACGACCAGATGGACAGAGTCACTTGGGCCACTGGTGTGCCGCTGTGGGAGCGCTGGATTCGTGAGGAGGAGAGAGCAGCGATTGACAAAGTCGCCGGCGCTTGGGGCTTCAAAGACGCGGCGAAGAGAGGCGACGAAGAAGGCGCAGATTGGGACAGCCTGAGAGAATGGATTGGTGTGCGAGGAATGGTGCTTGACCGTGTGAGCTTGATGGAGGGCATGGAGTAAGAGACGTACTACTTCAGCCTTGCAGCCACTCGGTCTGCCCAAGCCCGCTGCAACTCCACCGCCTCTCCCCTTTAACAGCAACATCTCTACGATCAGGAGAGCGGCGAGCAGCTCCAACATTTCGTCTGCTATCCTGAATCAACTGCACCGGCTTACCGACTCTAAAGTGCGATCCAGACTGCATAAAGCCGGCAGTAAGCGCCGGGCTGAGTGGTTGGGCGTCAAATGGGAGGCAACGAGGCAGCATGGCAGCGAGGCAGCGTGTGCACGTCGGCAAGCTTGGCACGTACCCATATCTCAAGTCGTTCTTGACCGGTCCAACCCACAACGGAAGGCTCTCAGCTGTGACGTGGACCCTTATCGGATGAGGAAAATGGCAGGCAGTGTCCCACTTTGTGAGGAAGATCCAACAACCCCGTGTCTTATCGTTCTTATTGCCGTGATGTTGCGCAGCTACATGCAAGGCATCCGGCTGACTGCAGCTCCAACCACCTGCAAGCGATGGAGCTCGAGCTGGACAACAAATTGCTGGCAGATCTTGAACAGCTGCCACGTGAATGCCAGCTCATCGAAGCTGCACGCGAAAGGCTGAGGGATGAGAACGAGCACTTTTAACACGCCGAAGTGACGTCTACTAGAGCAGCAAACCGCACATCAGATCGTCTTCAAGTCCGAGCGGCCAGCAGAATCATTCTTTTGCAACATGTCTCGATATTATACCTCAGACGGCGAAGCAAGCAGTCGTCGAACCGCAAGCGCGCCCAACAGATTGACTCCTCGAACGACAACTCAGCATCCCGCAGCTCCTCGACAGGCGGCTCCGACACTCCTTCAATCCCCGGCAGCTTTGCGGCAGCAGTATATGTCCACCATCTCGGGGTATCCTCCAAGCAGCAGCCAGTACACTACATCCCGGCCATCGGCAGCAACCCAACGGCCAAGTACACACAATAGCAAGCCGTCCGCGTCATCATACACTGCTGTCAACGCTTCTCACAAAGCCCGGACATACAGCCGCAAGCGCATCTTGCTCGTTTGGTTTCAGAACCACGACTTCAGCGCGTCGGCCTTGACGAAGGAGGTTACCGAAGTAGCGGCATTGTTCAGCGATGACCTGGGATTCGAGAGTCCGCAATCCTGCCTCATCACCGAGTCAGACACGAGCCCGACTAATCAGCTCATCACTGCCCTAAAGGCTTTTACGAGAGCATGCAAAGACAAAAAGGAGCTCTTAGTCGTCTACTACAGCGGGCATGGACGTGTTCGACCTCGTGGCGGTCTCAATCTGCAGGGTGAAGGGAAAGCAAAAGACGATGAAAAGGTGTACTGGAACAGGATTCAGAAAGAAGTTTTGTTCAAGGTCGACGCCGATTTTCTGGTGCTCCTGGATTGTTGTTACGCCGAGATGGGAGTGAAGGGTCTTCACCGCTACCGTCGTGACTCGATCGCTGCGTGCGCCAAGGACAGGACTACAGCGACTCCGGGCGAGAGATCCTTCACCGAATGTCTGCTACAAGCCGCCAGACAGCTTCTGCCACATGGCGGGTTCACTGTTCAGCAGCTCTTTGACCGGATCAGAGTGGTGGCAGCAGAGATGTGGTACGACGGCGCAAAACGAGCTGAGACGCCTATTTACAAAGACCAATGTGGGGACGAAACCGAACACGAAATCCACTTTGAGATGACGTCGCCTCCGACCAGCGCGCCTGATTCGGCCTCCGCAGTTGCGACCATGCAGCCCGCCGCCGGCAATCGGCGACGCACGTCTACTCGGCGAGATCCCTCAAACGACAGCGATGAGAGCTCGAACGACTCGGAGGAAGACAGCGAGGGCGACGAGGAGGAGGACGAGGAGAACGACCCACCACAGACAACTCATGGCCAAGCAGGTGCATCAGACACCGCCTGGCAGCAGCGCCGAGCCCAAGCCCAAGCTGCCTGGAAGCGGATGTGGGATGAGGGGCGAACACCGGAGGAGGCTTTCGAGAAACTCGTGGCGACGTGGCAGACAAGCATGCATCTATCAAAGCAGGATGCTGATGCTCAGATACGATGGCTGTTGGCGAGATAAGCTGGCGCTTGAAAGAGTTCGATACAGCATCAAAAGGAAAGAGTGGACGTTCCTTTCGCCACGCCTGCACATCTCCTTCGCCTCGAAACCATGTCACACTTCGTTGAGCGCTGTATTCCCACATTATACATTCTCCTACATATTCTTTTCGTCCTTCCGCCGTACCAAACACCGCTTACTCTTCGGGATAATCAGGAAATAATTATCCATCTCCATCGACTCAGGGGTCGTCCAGCCTGAGAGCTCGACATCTCGACACTCACGGAAGAACTCCGCCAAGCCGTGTCGAAGCTCCATCTCAGCGAGGTGTATACCCAGACAGAGGCGAGTCCCGCCTCCGAAGGGTGCCAACGCCCGTCGTTCGTCTGCTGACAAGCTTCGATTGTAGAATCTCGAGGGGTCGAATCTATCGTTGAGACATTGTCAGCTGCCCTGTGCAAGCTGCTGTGACCGTGGAGCTCACTCACTTGTCTGGATCCGGAAAGATCTCAGCGTCGCGATGGATCGTGTAAATTTGCGTCGTCACTGTGACTCCGGCGGGCACGAAGTAGCCGGTCACCGCGATTCCTCCTTCGGGCGTTCTTCGTGGCAGAGACCCCGGTGCTGACCCGTACAAGCGCAAGACTTCTGTGATGACAGCCTTCAGATACGGCAGAGACTCCAGAGTCGCATCGTTGTAATCCGCGGGGATTTTGGAGACTTCCTCCTCGAGCTTCGCCCTCACCTGTGGATGCTTGACGATGGCCCAGACGGCGTATGTCAGCGTGACGGCCGTGGTGCCCGAGCCGGCGACGATCAAGGCTGAAGCCTGCGCTCCAATGGCGGAGTCTGTCAAGTTCGATTTCCCCTCCTTGCTGAGCGAGATCATCTCGTTGAGGACGTTTTGCTTTTGGAGATCGCGGTGTTTGGCTCTTGCTGCTGCCGCTGTGCCGTAGGTCACGACGTTCTTGATGGAGGTGTCGAAGTGGCGAATCGTTTGGGGTGCTACGAGTCGCATGACGTGGTAGAGAAGAGGTTCCTCTCCGCGCAGGCCCCAGGCTTGGGTTGCCAGTTCGAGATCGTTGATGTAGTCCGTTTTCTGTAACAAACAGCCGTCAACCTCAATCGAACATTACATTCTCCCTCCGGCAAGGTGACATACCTCCCCCGCCTCCACCAACCCCAACTCCTCCCCAAACACCACCCGCGCCACCACATCCGTCGCCATCAACGTCCACCACTTCATCACATCCGCCTCCCCCGTCCCTCCAACAACCTCCCGCCTAATCTCCCCCACCGCCCTCCTCGCCCGCTCCCCCACCACGCCATGAAAATTCGCCACCAGCGAAGACTTGGAGAACGGCCGCGCCAACAACCTCCTCCGCTCCGCATGCGCCTTGACATCCGTCATGACGAAGACGTTGCCCTGGATCCCGTACGTGGCGCGGTCGTACCATTCCGATTTCGTGAATCCGCTTCCGATGCGGTGGACCTCTGCGAAGGCGGCGAGGTCGCTTACGTCGACTTCGTTGGGGGAGATTCGCACGATGGGGCCGTGGCGGTGGTGCAGAGAGTGGATGTAGAAGATTCGTTGGCCGGTTAGGGTGTGGTATCGGAGGATGAGGTTTGTGAAGTGCGTGTACCATGGGCCGGGGATGGAGGTAAGAGGGCTGGTGATGATTTTGTAGAGTTTCTGCGGATTTGTTAGGGTTGCGGTTCCTGAATAGCATGGGTTGTGTGGTTGACGGGCTTACGCAAATGAAGTATATTCCGACGGCGAGCAGACTTGACTGCCACATGAAGAGCAACGACATCATCATGAGGAATCACGAAGCGTCGACAAGAGTACACGCGAGGAAGACAAGCGAACCCTGACCTGTTGCCCCCTAATTGAATCTGCTGGATCCCAAAGCCACCCCAGATTCCCCACAGCATCAAGACGCGACTCGGAGTATAACATGGGTCGTGGGGCTTCCCCACACAGCCTTTCGTGACAATCCTTCGCCGAACGCCTTTGCCGAAGCACGTTCGGAGAACACTGGAGACTCCCATTAGTCAGTTATAATGGAGATAGCGGTACTGATTAGCTGTGAGCAGACTCCGGCTACGCCTGCAAAAGCGGTCGACGTCGAAATGGGTGTACTTGTTAGCGTACGCACGGATCACACATCACATGCCCATGGCACTTACTGCAATGGCTCGGGAAAGTGCTGTATGGACAAGACCCACTGCAAGCAGTAGCTAAGAAACAGATCACCTTCCAGATTCTAGGTCAAAATGACTGAGTACCCCAGGTTCCACCACTTGGTCGTTCGACTTCTAAAGCCTTGCCAAAGCCTTCAAGGCGTTATCCATCCCGAACTTCTCCCTTCGCAGAGCCCTACCAATATGTCCACCGATGACACCGAATTCACAGGATCTCCCCTCCACGTCCCTATGCTACACATAACAACCCACAACGCCTCCGGCCAAGCCATCATCCACAGCACCCAAAAGCCCATCGCGAAACTCTACCCCAAACACCGCTTCACAGCAACAACCCTCTACTCCACCTCCACCATGCCCGCAAACCTCAACGCCGACGCCGACCTCGACGCCCACACCACCCTGCTGAAGAACGTAAACACCCCCATCGTCCAACCCAACGGCACAATCCTCCGCTTCGCCGACTTCGCCCCTAACAGCCACGGCTTCATGCACCGCACGCAAAGTCTCGACTACGGCGTCGTGCTGGAGGGGACGGTCGTGTTGGAGCTAGATGATGGGAGTACGACGACGATGACGAAGGGGGATACGGCGGTTCAGAGGGCTACTAAGCATGCGTGGCATAATCCTAGTGGGACGGAGTGGGCAAGGGTGTTGTTTGTGTTGCAGGATTGTGCGCCGCTGGTTGTTGAGGGGAAGGTGGTTGGCGACGATTTGGGTTCGGCGAGGGGGGCTTTGTCGGCGAGGGGGAAGGATTGATGAGAAGGGTCGAGAGTGGTTTTTGTTTTCGTCGATGTGGAGGTTTAGGAAGCAGGTCAACATTTCTCCCATGCTTCGATACTAGCATCTTTTCTCTGCTGTTGTATGTCATTCCGCCGCAGAATACGATTCCTCGCCAGAAAAGCTGCTGGAGCCGGCGATCCAATCTCCAAGATCAAAGTCCTCCAGAGCCAACGAATCCAGTTCTTCCCGGTTCAGGCCGGTGAATGTACTGTGCGAGAGATCGAGCATAGCTGGTTCGAAAAAGGGGTGGACCATGTCGGGAACGATTTCGTCGGCTCTTTGCTCACCATCAGAAGGGGTCAAGAGAACGTCTCGTGTTCCCGTTCCAAGAGTATTTCCATGCTGCCCGCGGTGATGTATATCATTTGCCTGTGGTGAAGGACGCCGCGGATCAGTCGGAGGGCCTTGTAGGTTCGTATCGGGCGAGATGGCTGGTAGAGACAGGACATTGGACAGCGTTGGTGTTAGAATCGATTGTTGACCCTCCACGCTCCTTTCTGATTCCTCATAATCTCCGTAGCTTGTGTCACTGTGGTTGTCTTGTGCCGTCCCCGGGTGCCGGGGAACAACGGATTCTTCCATGCCCAGGTTGGTACTTTCATCTCCAGCATTGACAAACCCCCTGCACCGAGTACGCAGGATCTCGACAAAACCCAGTATCGAGATTCGAGCGTGAGCAGCATTGACACTGAAGTTGACAAGATTATGGATATCAGCATTCTTGGGCTCGTCTTCCAGAATGCTCGTCGCTGCATGCTGTTGATGCATCTTGTACAAGCAGGCCACGTGGAGTTTCTATAAGACGCGTTCATCAGTCGTCCATTGCAATAGTTTTTGACACATGAAAGCGACTGCACATACCAGCAAAGCTGCAAATTTCCAATGTTTTGCCAGTGCACTTATCACCCGGATGTTTGCCTGTACGTTCTCGATGACCCATTGTCTCCTCACAAGATTGGCGCACCAAAGGAACGGCATCTGGATGGCGCAGCCGCTGTACGCGGCGTATGCGATGAATGTGTGCGCTGGAGTCAAAGTTGAATGGACTTCCAGGGCGCATCTCATTAGTTCCGAGGCGGCGCATGCATGGTCAAATGCTCGCTGAGCCGATCCCTGTCGAGCAGCGAGAAAGTCATCGTCCGCGAAGCTCCATGAGAAGAGAGGCACGATCGAGGCGTGCAAGGCACAGATGGATTGGTGGTAGATCAAGTTGAGAAGAAGTATTCTCGAAAGATCCTCTCTTGGTACAGCAGACATTGTCGATGGCTCGAGTTTTAGCCCCGGCGGAAGTTTGGACCACCACTGTGACAAGTTGTCGTCCAACGCATAGATCCCGACCAAACTGTCCCGAATGCTGCAGTTGGGATTTTTGATGTGTGAGAGCACGGATGACCTACCACGCAAGTTAGCCTCACTTCGCGTAAAAATGCCTTGAAGATCAACCATAGGGTGAAGGCATTGACAAGTTCACCATAGATCCCTCCGTTACTATAGTCAGATACAAGAGTGACTTTACGTCCCCTTGCGGATCCAATGGTGAAGTCTGACTCGGGCCATGGCAGCGGCAATTGTTGCATATCTACCACTTGGTCAAGCAGCACCAACGGCTCTCCTAGTGCGCACTGCATGAGGTACAAAGCCCAAAGGCGGCGACGCTGAAGTTCAAGTTGCAGCTCGTTGTGCTCCCCGGAAGGAGTGAGGCCTCTTATATGGAGACACAACAATGCATTCCCTAATCCTCTGTTAGCAGAATCGACCTCCAATGTCACGTTCCGCTGCCTTGCCTTTGTAGAGGTAGCATAGTCTCCATGAACCCTGAGTGTACCAAAAGAGGCCAAGAATACAGAAAGTGACAATGTTATCTTCGCAACATCTCTGAACGTTCTCGAAGACCAGTTTGCCGGCTCTGTTCGCCCATTCAATCATGAAGTCATGTTCTCTCAACGAGTATGTCCCGTGGCGATCGCGGTAGAAGCTTGAATTAAGAGGTTAGAGTTGCCCCCAAGCGGGTGGCCGCCCATACGTACTTGGCTGACCAGGCACAGAAGCTTAACACGACATGTGGACTCGCTGATCCCTCCTCTAGCGACTCGAGGAAGCTTGGCTTGTGCAAGAGCAGAGAGGCATTGTAGGCCGTATCGAAGAACAGATTCACCAGTGTGAGGACGAGAGACTTCGAGATACCCAGGTACACGTCATCAGCCTGGAGAGTGGCGTTTCTTACCGGCCTCGAGTTCTGCGGCCTTCGAGCATGTAAGCTTGTTGATGGCCATGCGGACAAGCTGCTTGCCGTTGGCTGTGAAGGTGGCTCGGTCTGCGGCGGTCTGCTGCTTGGAGACTCATTGGAATAGAGGCAGTTGCGTCGCAGCCTAGTGCAACGCTTACAGACAGGTCGATCTCCAGAACAGCGTAACTGCAAAGACCTGTTAGCAGATATGAAGAAGCTTATGGATATCGCACTGTTCATGAGCGTACCTTTTGACGTTTGCATGCAGTGCAAGCGCTTCTCGGCCGTCCGATTGGCGAAGACCACATTGTGAGGCGGCCTCTCAGAGACGTGTTTGGAGTTTCTAGGGAAGTACTACTGACGTTCTATGACCTGTACGTCCTCCTTTAACGAGGTTCTGGCGCCGTCGCAGCTGTGGGCCGTAGGCGGACATACCGGACACCAGCACAGACTACGAATGTGACCGCTGGATGTCTGGTAACTGTCTAGTCAATTCTGGTGTTAGTGCAGATGATGCTGTGGTGAGCTCCGGATTAATAATAATGCAGAGCTCTCTACGATTTACTGCCCCGCAGCCTGAGAGCACGAAGGACAGTCAAGCTTTGTGGACGCGAAGTCCAGACATCAACCTCATCTTTCCCCGGGTTCAACGGGAGGAGCATGTCCCGGACTGGAAAGGGTCTGGTGACAAATTGGCAGAGTCAGAAGATCACTCTCGCAATGCTCAGTCATGCACATGTCGGCTGCCCCTTTTTCCGAAGTTCGGAAAACAAGCCGTGGTGGAGACAATCCTTTGCCGAATGTGCATGCTCTCCTTCCTTCACGCACCGAGATTAGCCTCGAACGCAGGATGACGGTGTATGCTCCGAGCAGTCGTCGAAGCACATGGTGCACACAACGTAGTCGCTAATAAGCGGTCCTACTTCCAGGACAACCGATGAGATGCCCTTGAACATCCTGCTCAATGACTTCCTGGCTACCCATCCCAGACGACTCAGACTTTTCACTTTGTAACTTACCCTATGGAGTCTTTAGCACCGTAGACGACAGCCCTCGCATAGGCGTTGCTATCGGCGATCACGTCGTCGACCTCAAAGCTCTCGCCAACGACCATATCTTCGACGACTTCGGCTTCGACACCGAATGCTTGCAAAATCCGACTTTGAACGCCTACGCAGCCTTGGGTAGGGGTGTTCACGGCCGTGTTAGGAGTAGACTGCAAGATTTGCTTGTTTTAGAGACGAAGCTTGGATCTGAGTTGCGAGACAATGCAAATCGCCGCAAGAGATGCCTGGTCCCCATGAAGAGCATCACCATGCATATGCCAGTCGCCGTGGGGAACTTCACCGACGGCTTCGTGGGACTGTATCATGCAGAGAATGTAAGCTGTGACGATGCCCCCAGAATCGTTCACGATGCTCACCGAGATGTACCGTGGCAGTCCGCAGGCTTCCTAAAACCTGGCTCGAGTATCACAGAGCTCATTCCCTCGTTCTGGGATGCCCCGACAGCCTACCAAGGTCGCGCTTCGTCTGTTGTTGTCTCAGGCACTCCGATTCACAGACCTCGAGGTCAAACGCGAGTCAATGGTAAAGCAATATCTGGGCATTGTCAAAAGCTCGATTTCGAAGTCGAATTTGCGGCGATCGTCGGCCAGGGTAACAACTTCGGAGATGCCATTGATGTCGACCAGGCGGATGATCACATCTTTGGGTACGTTCTGTTGAATGACTGGTCTGCCAGGGATTTTCAGCAGAGTGAGTTCGGGCCCTTCACATGCAAGAACTTTGCGACGTCGATTTCGCCGTGGGTTGTGCCGTTTGAGGCGCTGGAGCCGTTTCGTGTGCCTCCTACCAAGGCTGATGTAGGTAGATGAACAAGACCGACATCCAAGCCGGGCTGACATGTGATAGCGTCCGTTACCAGACTACTTAGTCCAGAAGAAGCTGAAGTCGGCGTACGATATTCCAATTCAAGCTACGCTTGAAGGTAAAGCACGCACACCACTCCCCTGTTTGGCAGGGCTGACTTTGCGAACGTCCGCAGTTGCCGGGCAAAAGTATCAGATGTCCCGTTGCAACACCAAGCATGTCGTGTTCTCCTTTGCGCAGATCATCGCTCACCACACTCGCGGCGGATGTCCACTTGTGCCCGGTGACATTATAGCCACCGGAACCATGTCTGGGCCCTCTCGCCCAGAGTTCGGATGCTTCATGGAGCTCTCGAGGGTCGGGACGGAGGCGTATGGAATGGAGTCTGTGGATGATACAGGGCTGAAGATAAGTCGGACTTACCTTGAGGATGGCGACGTGGTGGAGTTTACTTGTCAGCTTCGTTCTCCGGACGGCACTGGAAGGATTGGGTTTGGTGCTTGTCGGGGCGAAGTGTTGCCAGGCAAGTAGAGGAGGATAATCTTGACCGACAGAATGAAGCCTCATGATTCATCCACCTACGCTGCGTTTTTCAATTTCCTTCTCCTCCTCGCCAAATGGCTTAGAACTCATACGCCGGCTCCAATCGATTCCGCCCATCAAAAGTCGTATACTCCGCCTCATCCAGATCAATATCCTTGAAAAGGCGGGTCTGCCAATACCATTCAGCACTCGCAACATAAACAACGAGAGGCGAGGAAAAACCAGACAGATGAAAGTGAAACTCACATTCATAGCCAAAAACGGCCTCTCCCTCTCCGACGCCGCATCCTTAAAATCAATCAACACCGAACTCCCACACCCACCACAAAACCTATGCGGTTTCTGCTTCTTCCCGAAATAATAATCCTTCAAGAATGCGTCACACCCGGCCTCGAAGACGACGTCTTCCCGCTTGGGGTAGACGAGCAAGTACCCGAGTTTCGTGCAGATGGAACAGTTGCATTTGTTGATTTTGCCCGGGCCCGCGGGGGCTAGGGCGATGGGGAGGGTGACGGTGTAGCGGATTTGGTTGCAGTGGCAGTTTGCGGTGTAGGTTGTTCGTTGGTCGGTGGACATCTTGGGGATGAGGGTTGTTTTGGGGAGGCTGGGAGAGGGGTCAAAGTGGGCTTTTAGGGAAGATGAGAAGAGGTAATAGATAAGTTAGCAGAGATAAGTAGAGATAGATTGTGAAGAGGTGAGGTCGAATCGTTACAATGCCACCTCACCTACCGCTCTGGGTGGGTCTCTCTGCCGCCATTTTCATCTCAGCTGCTTCTTTGAGGTTCGCTTTGGAATCCTTCGACTTGGTTTGTAATATTATCATTGCGCCGGCTGATTGCCACTTCTCGTTTTATAGGGAGAAGCGCATCAGAAAGATAGACATCTTTGGTGTGGAGTTTTTTTTAAGTTAAATAGGGCGGAAGAACAATTCCAACCTTGATGGATATTACTAAAATAGGATGAAGAGTGCAGTCGAGATAGGTAGGCGCCGCTTCAATACTTAACAGTATTTATCTATCTGCTCTACCCGACTGGCGATCTCACTCCCAACGACAGAAGCACCGAGATCAATCTTGCTTCACACCAATCTTCCCTACCCTCCGCAACCCCAACGCACCTGTGAGACCCACCAAAACCATCATGGCAAACAAGGCCCAGAAGACAATCCGATACCCATCCATCAGGGCTTTCGGGGACGACTTGTTGACTTCGTCCGAGTTGGCCGTGACTGTTGTGGTGATGACTTGAGTTACGGTTAAGCCAATCGAGGTGCCGAGTTGCGCGCAGGTGTTGAACACGGCGCCGCCTAACGCCTGGGTGCGGGAGGGAAACACCGCGGAGATGATGAGTAGACCGACGGTGAAGAGGGTGTTGGTGCAGACTTGCAGGAAAACCTGTGGAGGAATGTGTCAGCGGCACGTCGTTACCGCGTATTCAACAGCAGATAGTGGGTCACTTACCTGTGCGGTGAACGCCATGTACCAGTATGGCCATTGTGGTTTGATGACGGCCATGAGAAGTGGCGATAGAGCGGTGGCCGCGGAGGCTGTCAATACCACCAACATGATTGGCAGTCGATTCACAAAGTATCCAATCGAGATGTTGATGAGCACCGCTGTAATCAGGGCGGGGAGAATGCGGATTGATGCGTCGAGCGCTGAGAGGCCTTGGACTTGTTGGAAGCTGGGTGACCGTTAGGATCCGTCCCTTGTGTAGCACGAGGCATAGGCAGACGACTCACAACAAACTGCAGAACAGCTCCATGTTATTGCTGACTGCATTGGACAACAGTACCATGATACAAATGCTCGTAAAGCTAGCGTTGCGCCAAAGTGCATTTGGCATCACTGCTGGACGGTTGTGCTTGACTTGATAGTTCATCCACCAGATGAACGCTGGAATCGTGGCAACACTGATGACCAGCAGCGCAATGTTGGAAGCGCGGCGGATGTTGTTGATATCGGATGAGAGCATCCTGCCATCATTGTCAACGCTGGTATCAGCCATACCAAACGTTGCGGAATACTTACGCCAAGACGTATGACAGGATCGATATTCCAGCACTGAGAATCATTGTTCCCACCCAATCAATCTCCAAAGCAAGCTGCTTCCATATCGTGCGCATGGGTCTTGCTGGCCGAGGATCATGTGGCAAAGCCCAAAAGCCGAAGACACATAACGCAGCAGTCGTAGCCCCGGCAAGGTAGAACGCTGGACGCCATCCGACACTGTCCACCATGACACCTCCCAGAACGAGACCCAGCAAGAATCCGAGCGGACTGGAGAACCCGAGACACGAGAACCCCAGGTTCCGCGGCCGCCCAACCGCAATGTTGGTGGAGATGATAGACACAGATGCTGGGACCGCCATGGCGAAGGAGACGCCTTGCAGGCCGCGGAAGGCAATGAGTTCGCCTCCGGTTCGTGCTCCGCCGCAGGCGAAAGCACTGGCGATGAGCAGCAGGTTGGCCGCTAGGATAATCGGCCTCGTACCCACGACATCTGCAATCGATCCAGCTAGCATCAGACATGAGCCGGCGGTGAGGTAGAAGACGGACGTGGGCCAGAGAAGAAGGCCCGTCTCCAGCTTGACTGTGTCGATGATGGCAGGCAGACCAACCACGGCGATGCCATTGCAAAAACTGGAGAAGAGTTGCAGGCCGATCAATTGAGCAATGACGAGTACTGCTCGACTCGTGGACAGGACTGTTGTTGCTTCGTCACTTGGTGATACGTCAGACGGTTCGTCCGCTGGCAACGCAGGGCTTTCATGTGACGGAGTGGAGGCCGGAAGGTGGGTGTTGATTGTGACATGCTTCGAGTTTGACTCGAGTGTCTGTAGCTCGACGGTCGTCGTCGTCGTCGTTGTTGCCATTTCCAGGACCGATGGGAGAGTACCCAGGCACAGAATCTGGGTTAGTGTGAAAGTATTTATTACAAAGGAGCGGGTTCGAAGGATCTATGACTCCGAGCTCGGCTTACTAGTGGCCAGGCTGGATACCTAGTTTTCTTGGTCAGATCACGGGAGAAATCGGAATTACTTAGCTTGATGGACATTACTCAAATAGGAATTAGGAACGTGAACGCAGATTGCTGTCTTGTAGTTTTGTGGAGCCACTGTATGCGGGGCTCTGCTCAGGCACGAGCAACTATGATACACGGTTATCATGTCAAGCGTTGATCATTCAGTGGCAGCATGACAATGCACTAGCTGCGCTCGCTTCCTCGCAGACGGACGACCTGGCCGTACTTCTGCAGCTTGGTGATGAGCTGATCACCCTGCTTGACGACGTCGTTGTACCTGTAAACCACAATATCAGTTATCACTCTACTTATCGTTGGATGTCAAACTTACTGCTTGTTCTTGTCATCCGCCCGCTGTGTCTCGATGATACCTCTCACACGATCAATCGTGCATGGTAACCGCTGGCTGGCAATGAACGGAGCCAAGTCCTTGTCCAGCCAGTCCACGCTCACTCCAAAGCTGCTGGCCATGCTCTCCAGACCAACGACCTTGTAGCTCTGCAGCAGCTGCGCATACGCTCGCAATCTCATCTCACGCACATACCAGCCCTTGTGCTCGTACAGGTATCGATCCTTTGATAGGAAGTTCTGCTCAACAGCAGCCAGCGCGGTGAAGAAACCCGAGTAGTTGCCCGAGTACAGGCTTTGAATCATGTTGGCCAGAGGGCGGAAGTCGACCTTTGGTTCGGCCTTGGCTTGAGCTTCGGCAGAAGCAGAGCCTGATGCAAGAGTAGTGAGGTTGACAGCGGTAGGTTGTGGTGTTGCAGTCGAGTCGATGTTCATGGTATCCTCATCAGCACCTGGACCTGCTGACGCTGCACCACCGAGCGCGGCGAGACGATCCGACTCGCTGCCACTGCCAAAGACTGCGCGTACCTCAGGAGCGTCCACAACCTTGGATTTGAAGTCGCGGCGAGGGAGGGAGACAGAGCCTGCCAGTGTGGCGTAGGTGACGAGATTGCTGTATGAACACAGCTCGGTGGAGGTGAATGTGGAGAGGGAGTCGAGGAGCAGCGGTGCAGCCAGGTTGTGTGCGCGGATTGTGAGCAGGTGCAGGCCTTGGTAGGCCTTGAGACGATTGCGCCTGTCCCAGTCACCACCGCTCTCCACCAACTGCTGTGCTCGGTCCACGTTCTTCTTCACAAGGAGCTTGTCGTCGAAGAACAGCCCTACGCGGATGATGGCAAGAACGATGTCGATCTTTGTGCCCAGAATGCTCGTCTTGTCCAACAGCTTCTCAAACTCCTCCAACGCCTTGTCCTTGTCACCGACCTTGGCGTAGAACTCGGCCCTCTTCCCTCGTGCGGTCTGCACCTCCGTCTCTCCTGCCTGCTCGACGGCCTCATCCTCCTCTTTCTGAATCTCAGCCAGCTCCTTCTCGTTGTCACTGCGCAGGCTCTCGTACAGCGCCTCATCCCAAGGGAGCTCAACCGTGGTGTCTGTCTTGCCACCCAGCACACCCACGATCGACGGAGCGTTGATGCTGCTCGTTCTCCTCAGCATATGTAAGGGCGATGGAGCGGTCGAGTTAGTGTTGGCGCGGCTGATGGTGGGCGAGAGAACAGCGCTGCCTTCGCCTGCAGCATTCAGCTTCCCGGACTGAGGGTGTGCCAGGTAGGCGTAGAGAGGAGCCATCTTGTTCTCCTTGATGCCATCTTGCAGTGCGGTCAGGGCAGCTTGCTTTGCCTGGGCATCGGTGGATGGTGAGGCAAGCGAGAAGACGCTCTGGGCCAGGGCCAGCTTGGGGAAGGTGAGGTATTGCGGTTCGCCCATCTTGGGCAGGTGGATGGAAGTGCTGTGTCAGAGGTGTGAAGGAGATTTGATTGAAATCGGGCGGGTTTGATCGTGATTTGATTGAACCAGGCGGCGAGATGATGATGTGGTCGAGTGTTTGGCGACGGTGTTGCTGCTCTCACATGCGGCATCCGATGCGGCTCAACGAAGGTTGCGGGAGTAGCCGAGAGCTCTCCGGCCGCCCTTGCAGCTAAATCCGCACGTCACCAGGCTTCACCTCCATCCTCCATCTCAACAAGCACGTGCTTTTCAAATACACAACTAATTCAACTGTCGCTTCCGATCCAGAAAGACACAGAAACACAACAACCACAAAGTTGCACTCGAGTCACGACGATGCCTTCAGAAGAGCCCCCGCCGACAGACACCACACAACGGCGCATCGCCGCGAAGAGGAAGCGTGAGACGCCAACATCACGAGCCAACAAGGCGAGTAAGACGGGCACTCCAAACGCATACTCGCGACGGACTCCACCTCCCCAGGATCCCACTCAAGCAGACGACGAAGACGGCGACAAATCACCGCCAAGACAGCTGAAGAGGCCAGGAGGCGGGTCGCGAATCGCTGCTGCGAATCGAGAGGCTGTCGAGAGGCAGCGAAAGCAGAGGGAAGAGGAGACCCGGAAGAAGATTGCCGAGAGGCAGCTGGGTGGGACCGAGATCATCGCAGAACACTATAATTCCGTGCCAGAGCGTGGTCGAGAATGGCGCCAAGCGGAGAGCAAGATTTCTGGACTACGAAGCTTGAACAACTGGATCAAGTCCACCCTCATTCAGAAGTTCTCACGGCCGGAGATACCGACACGAGATCTCAACGTGCTGGACATGGCATGTGGAAAGGGTGGTGATCTGGGCAAGTGGGAGAAGGCACCACAAGTACCCGTGTTGTACGTCGGGTGTGACATTGCTGCGGTGTCAATCGAGCAAGCACAGGAGCGGTATAGAGAAAGCCAGCGACGAGGCCGAGGACGATACCAACGAGGCCCGCCCATGCAAGCCGAGTTTTACGTGCAGGACACCTTCGGCCACTCGTTGGCTGAGATTCCCATCATTCGCCAAGTCGGCTTCAACCCAAATGCTGGACCGGGAAACACCATCATTCAACCTGGCATGATGGGTGGAGGCTTCGATGTTGTTAGTATGATGTTCGCTCTCCACTACTCTTTCGAGTCTGAAGACCTGGCGCGAGGCATGCTGCGAAACGTCGCTGGAGCTCTGAAGAAGGGCGGTCGATTCTTTGGTGTAATGCCGAATAGCGATGTGATTGCGACGAAAGTGCGTACTTTGCTCTCAAATGGCAGCCCGGATGCCGCGCCTGTCAGCTCCACGCCAGCAGAAGATGAAGATGACTGGGACCCTGAAAAGCCCTCTGATTCCAACGCAGCGGCCAACGGAGACGATGACGACGATGATTGGGATCCAGAAAAGCCTTCGGGACCAGTGGTCAACGGCTCAACCCCAGCCGAGAATCCAGAGGCCAGCAAAGAAGCAACCACCAATGGCGCAGAACCAAAGGAAATCAGCTGGAAGAACGACCTCTACAGCGTGCGCTTTCCACCACGTCCACCACTCGCACGCGATGGCACGTTTCGACCACCATTCGGGTGGAAGTACCATTACCACTTGGAGGAAGCTGTCGAAGCTCCTGAGTTTGTGGTTCCGTGGGAGGCATTCCGAGCATTGGCTGAAGATTACGGACTCGAACTTCTCTACCGCAAAGGCTTCCGTGAGGTGTTCGAAGATGAGTCTGCCGATCGTGAGTTGGGTATGCTTGCCGAGCGCATGAAGGTGCTCGATCGAGACCGAAGCAAGCCAAATGGTGGTCTTTTGGTGAGGGAGGACGAGATGGAGGCTGCGGCATTCTATCATGCCTTCTGCTTCTACAAGACCTGATTTCGCCGTGCAGCTCTTTTCCGGCCAATTTTCTCCTGCAACCGCAATCACAAATCACGTGGCCTCTAGAAGGGATGCCTGTCGAAGGTAGAGACCTTTGCGCCGTATTTGTGGCATCGAATGAGCTCTGTGTGTGACTGAGCACATTATGCAAGCAGCTCTCTTGGATTTACAAGGCTGGTGCCGTCTCGCGCTCAGAGCTGAAAGTGGTTTAGCTCCAGAACGCAAAGTCCGTGGAAGGATTGCAAGATGCATCTTCGCACACCAACGATCGGCAAAAATTTACGGTCTACGGCCGGATAGCATAGGATTGCAACAAGGATTGGGGGAATTGTGTCTCCTGTTGTTGCCTAAAAGTGACAAAGTAAGGCTTGTTGCTGCTACTTCATCCTCCATCACTTCCTCGAATTTGAAGGATGCGATTGGCTTTACTGGGTTTCCGTTGCGAAGGATGGCCAGTGGGTATAAGAGGGTCGGAGGTATGGCCTGAGAAGTAGGCATTGGAGGTATACTGTTACTCACGCCTCTAAGCACCTCAAGCCGTTGGGTTGAAATGCATCACGTCTTCCAGCACCTGCTTCCCTTCTTCTCGATCTACTTGTTCCATTGACGCTCTCTCGACAACTCAACTAGCGATCTCCGAACAATCACAAACCATCCACCGCCAAACCACCAAACGTACCCTCACGCAACATGGACGGCCCGCCGCCTTCCTCAACAACACCAACAACCGACCCCTCAAAACTCGAATCCACCAACACGACAACAACCCTCCCACCCCTCCCCCTCAACCTCTCCACCCACAAACCCTTCATAACCCTCCACTGGCTTCCCATAATGCTCACCTCCGGAATCCTCCCCATAACTCTCTACTTCGCCCTCCACTACGGCACCTCCCTCTCCCTCACCGTCGTCCTCACCATCCCCCTCGTCCTCATGGGCGTCGTCTCTCTCACAGCCCTCCTCCGGCGGAGCTGGAGACTTTCCTGCAAGGAGTCGGCTTGCCGACCTTTAGGGTGTGAGGCGATGCGCTGGAGCGGGGATTTCTTCCACTGGAATTTCCTCGGCGGGTTCGTGGTTCTGACGGTGGTGATTTCCGTCGAGATAGGGGTGGGGAGTCTCTGTGCGTTGCCGTTGAGTCTTCCGATCTTCTACATCAGCGTTGAGCTGCTGATTGCGCAGGTGGCGATGCGGGCGGGGTGGAGGACGCCGGTGAGGATGAGTAGTCTCCCCAGAGGTAGTCCCACTCACCCTGGGACTTTCATCCTTGTGGAAGACGTTGTGGCTGTTGATGGGGGGTTGGGGAGGGAGTGGAGAGAGGTGTGGGGGAGGCGGTATGAAGCTGATGGTGAGCTAAGGGCTTTGTTGAGGAGGTTGGATCTGCTCTGGGCGATTAGTGGGTTGTGTGTTTCTGCGGTGATTTAGGGTGTTGTGTTTGGGGTCGAAGATAAAGACATTGGGTATACTGTGGGTTGGGGACTGCCCTGGGTTTGGGCGGGGGATATGGTTGTCATCACGATTTGGATGGTGAAGAGGATGTTGAGACGGCAAAGGGGAAGGTGAGAGTAGAACAATACCGTTGCTTGAGCAATGAGAGAATTTGGAGGACAGGTTGCCGATGATCGTGGTGTGAGTTTGAGATTTACTTCTCATGTGTGAATCAAAAGCGCGGACTCGCTAGAACTATTTGGGCCCCCGACAATGCTTTCACCATGGTTGCTGACTTTTGATATATTGTTCTTTCACGTCGCATGGATATGCTTGTCGGGCAGGCCGACCATGAACCGCAGCAGCTCATTCGATCAAATATATCATGCCCCTAGCCATAGACACACTCCACAAGAAATCAGCGTCTCCCCTGCATCACACAATCAATCTCTTCAGCTTACACTCCCAGTGTTGCCCGACGCAACTCGCAGCACTCGGTGGGTCGCAGTGGAAGGTCTGACCATTATCTGTGCATTTACATCAGTCAATCTGAGAAAGATGTAGCTCTTGGTGCAGCGTCGAGGGCGTACCGAGACAGCAGTTCTCCTGCGAAGGCTGCCCATTGCAATCGATTGCCCAGGCTTGGGAGGCCAGGGAGGCGATGAGGAGGAAGGCGAGGTTGGTGAAGTTGGTGAAGTTCATGATGTCGCTTTTGGAGATCTGAGTAGTTCTGAGTTATCCGGAGTGCTTCAAGTGGGAGAGATGTGAGGTGGGGGACCTGGTTTGGATCTGTTATATAGTAGGCGAGGGATTCAGCAATGCTGAACGGACCATGGCGATCTAACTACGACCATACATTCCCGAACTGGCCCACGGCGTCATTGGCTATGATCACTACCAAATTCAGCAAGACCAGGAAGTTTCATGTAATTAAAGTAGCACGCTTTGCCGTCATTCGAGGCTGTGACGCTGCGATACAGCCGCTTCCCCTGAGTAGTCAGCTGCGAGCCTCGCAATGGGATTGCTGACGACGAGCGAACGTCGCAGCTTCTCGAGTACTAAAAATATTAGCATGACGGCCATGTATCCTCATGCTCATCTAATTACCGCCCTCATAATTGATTTGATCAAGCAACTCCCACAGGGCGACTGGTAACATGTCCTGTCAAAGCCAACAAAGCCACCGACAGCCTCGTGTACTTCTGTCCAGTAACAACGCATGGGAGTCAAGTAGTTCATTGTTGGATCCCTCAGACTGTAACGCGAATCATCCTTGCAATAGAAGGTGTCCCAGCTTCGTTCATTGCAAAAAGATAGTAATAACCCGGCAAAAGCACGCCCGAATCAGCACGCAGCTTGATCGTAAACCTCGCCCCATTCCTCGTGACATTCGCCAATGGTACCTGTCGCTGATCGGTATTGATCGAATGCGTCGAGCTACCAAGACGGACGAGGGAGAACGTGGTCTTCCCCGATTCTGTCATATCGACGCTCAGAGTCCCGCCCACGCGAGTCGTGTATCCGTTGGCATCAGTTGCGCTATGCAGGGAGTTGATCGTCGGTCGTGTGGCGGATGACCCATCGGCATTGAAGAGGTACGGTGGCGAGAGTATCTGCCCGTCGAAGTGATTGAGTGTCTGGTCGCAGAAGGCTGTTGACTCGCCTTGGCCGACTGGGCAGAGGCCACCACCGGCTGACCAGACGGTACCGTCGGAGAGGATGAGAGCAACGGAGTGGTAATTGCGCGGGACCGAAGCGGGTGCAAGGATGGTGAATTGCTTCGTTGTGGGGTCCCAGAGCTCAGCAGCGTAGATGGATTGAATATCTGTGAAGACCAGGGATTCGGCTTGCCCGCCGAGGACGACGACTTGGCCGTTTGGGAGGACGACTGTATTGGCGAAGCCTCTGGGGAAATTCATGTCTGGGAGCTTCTCCACTGTGGCAGCTTGGTTTGGTTGTCCGATGGTGATAAGGTGTGCCTTGATGAAGGCGTCGCTGTTCGTATAGCTCTGGCTGCCGCCGGCTGACAAGATCTTGCCTGCTACAGCATCGAACATCACATTGATGCCACACATGGCATCGTTGTCTCCATCTCGAGTGCCAGCAAGCTGAACAGAGCCGCCATTTTTGGTGCCGTACCAGTGCATCGTCTTGCTGGGACCCGCTTGGAAGACGCTGCCATCCTTCCAGCCATACAGCCAGGCGTGATTGTCGGTACGCTAGGCTCCTTCGCCGTCAAATGTCGTGAGCATAGGCTTGACATCGCAGCCATTGAGCAGAGTCCAAGTGTTCTTAGCAGGATCGTAGACCTCTCCGACTTTCAACACGGCATCTTGGCCTCCAATGCCGCCCGTAAAGGAGCCACCAATCGTAAAGATGCGGCCATCAGAGAGAGTCGTAGAGCTTTGATAGCCACGCGCGATCTTCATATCTGCAGCCCGAGTTCAGCCGTTCGTCTTGTAATCGTACAAACTGACGGCCTCTGCATTCTCGCCGCCAGTGACAACCATGGAGCCGTTCGACAAAAAGCTCATTCCGGGACAAAACATGTCGTATTTAGTCTCGGTGACGGTCCTCTGCGAGACTGCACCGGTCTTGTAGTTGTAGTCTGTGAATTGCGTTATCCCCGTAGGCCCGCTGAATTCATAGGGGCCCCAGGACGAGAAGGCGAGAATTCGATTTGAAACTGGCTGCTCGGGGACCATGAAGGCCCCGACAGGGACGACAGGAAAGTTAACAGCTGGAGCCCACTTGCCCAAGTTACCGGTTTGGCTTGCTGTTCCATTGAGCAGCCTGATCGACTGGTATCCTGCGTTGAAGGGCCATGGAGCATCTGCGCCTTTGAGGTAGCAGACCTTGTTCGCCACGTCGTAGACAGCTTTGGTGCAATCTTTTGCAGAGTCACACTGGAGCATGCAGTTAAAGCTAGAGTCGACTCCATCGACGATGTTCGTCGCCGGCCCGCCAAAGTCAGTTGAGTTGCAGATCGCATAGCCCAGGCCTTTTGAAGAAGTGACGTTCCGATCGCCAGAAGGGCAGTAGGTGAGTGCGTCTCCTTGCTGCGGCCGGTAGAGCAACGAATGGTTTCGTAATTGGAGTTGAAGACTGTGATAACCCTCGAGCTAGCGAAATCAGACGCGAGCACTATCCTCGCATGTGGACAAAAAGCTCGATTCATCTTTCCTCGCTTCTTGATCACCCATCTAACGCCTCGCAGCTAGATCCCTATGCGCATCATCAAAAGGCCTTATATGGCAATCAAAATTCGCATCAAAGCCCTCGAACAACCCGTCTCTTCTCCTTTGCGGATGATTTTCACACTCATCCTCTGCGACATGTCTACTCCACTCTCCCAGATCGCTATCCTTTAGATACACAATCATCGGTTCGTATTGCCTGCTACCATATTGTGGCCCTAGAATGATGAAGGAGTGTGGGAACGATTGTGAGGCCGGGAAGAAGTGCGCGGCGCGGTGTTTCGCGGAGCGCGGGAGGAACAATTGTTCGGTTGGGGAGGTCACTGGGTTGACGACGCTGGACTGTCGGTTGACACTATGCAAAAGAAAGCGGAGAAGGAGGAGGCGTTCGCCAGACAGGGTAAAATAGGCATGAGATCCGGCCCAGGTCCAGCTGAAGGGCAGGGTTGTGAGGAATGGTCGATCGATGCATCCTACTCGTTGTTGAAGGTTCGTCATGGAAGTAAGCGTTGCTCGCCCAGAAGGATGAGGTTTGAATTTGAGGGTCAATAGCTTAGTGAGGAGAGCATAGCGGGTTGAGAGGGTGCGAGAGCTGTCGGGAGAACGGGTTTTCGCCGCTTCGAGGATTGCCACGTGAAGTGACTGGCCGTCCTCTGAGAAGTGAGGTTCGATAGCAATGTTGCGACCTGAACCCATCGTAAGTACTGTGGCCATAACCCGACTGATCCCAAAGACAAACCATTGACAAGTGAAGGCTTGAGGCGAATGGATTTCTGCCAGCGGGGCTTGCTAAAGCTGGACAGCAGAAGGGCAGAAGGAGAGGCTGCCCAAGCCAGCAAAGGCACGCTTGGATGTATCGCAGGGGGCGAGCAATGCAGCAACTGAGCTTCTTCACGTCTTACTTCGAGTTTCACCTTCGACGGCGACTGAGACGTGTCGATGACTTGAATCCTGCATGAACCGTCAGCGATATCGACAGTACCTAAGGTGGAGCTGGCTAACATCTGTTCGGGTTTGCACTGCTTTCTCCAAGTCCGCACACCGACAGGATCATCCTGTCTCCACTCCAAAAGTTGGTGTCCAGTATCACCACACCACTTTCGCCGCTGGAAGCAATGCCAACAAAGTGCCGCCCGCTCATGATGACACATACGACAGCTGAGCCATCTGCGTAGCCCGACTTGGCCACAGTAATGGCAGCACTTTTCCTTGGCCTCCTCGATCCGCTCTATGCGTGGGTAGTATCGAGTGGGTTTTGATTTTTCGTGCTCATCTAGATCGCTACTAGCTTCAGTGTGATTGTCCGCCGATGTGGTTTGGCTCATATCATCCGTGTGATTGCTTGCATCTTCTGTTTCGTCACTGGTATCATCCAGGTAGTCTATCGTCTTCGCCAGGCTCTCTGCGTCCGATGTGGTCCTGCTATCATCTGAAATGATCGCGTCTAATCTCTCCAAAGGCACTTTGTCAAACGTAAGCTCATCATCAGAGTGCTCGCTGAGTTGCTCGAGCTCTTCGCTGTCGAGTTCGCTGACGATGTCGTCGTCGTCGTCGTCGTCGTCGTCGTCCGAATCTCCAGTTTCCCAGGCAATTGGTTCGTCGTCCGTGAATACTGACTGCGACATAAGGCTTTCATCGTCCGTGGAAATCTCCTTCAGAACCTCTTGGCTTGTCTTGGGAGGCAGTTGTCCTTCTCGGTCATCTGGCAGGCCTGCCGAAGCCTGTTTTCCGTCTGCCCCTCTTCCATCGTTCCACGTACAACCTATCTTACGACGACATCTGACCACAAAGTTGTCCCGGCAATTGAATTCATCATACACTTGGGATCCATGGTCAGATGAAAATGACTCGAGCTCGGAGGAACCACAGAGCTTTTCGATCGACAGGACTGCAGCACCAATACGCAGGTTCAGGCCCTGTCTGTCCACGTCGACCAATGTTGGGCATGGCGTACAATCCATGGAAGGCATTACAGCTCTTTTCTGATTTCCCATGGTGCAGAAGTAGCGACTCTTTCGAAGAAGGTCTGGAATCGCAATCGATGCGGACTTGACGAGCTTTGGAGGTTGCCCTGGTATGTTTACGACCCATCGCTCAGTGACAAGGTGTGTTTGATTATGTTCTTCATCACGCAGAGCGCAAATGACAATTGTCCGTCCGTCGGGAGAGGGAGAGAAGGCCGCATACGAGAGCGTCGAAGCCGTGCTTTCTATCCCCGACCCAAACGAGAAGGAGGAGTAGCGGCTTCGGAAATTTCGCATAAAATTGTTCGATCCCAAAGTCTTCCAGAAACAACGGTCAATCTCGCCTGTACAGACGTTGGTGACTCCCAGGCGTAGTACATGGCCCCATTCCGCCAGAAGAGCGTTATACTGCCGCCGAAGACTGCGATTGTTCGAATCGTCGCTGCTCAACCAGTCCGGCAAATTCTCTTGAACACTTTCAGGGTGATCTTCTTCATCGTATTGAACCAGAAAGTGGCCTAGCACGAATATACTCTGCACTTGTAAGCAGGCCTGGAAGTTGTCTGATTGCAAGAGGTTTTCTACGGCCAGGAGAATGTGGCTGTCTGGAGGCGATCCACGGGTTGACTGGCTTATCGAGCAATGTAAGTGCCAATACTTTGTAGTATATGATAGGAAATGATGCTCTCGGATGTTCTTCCCAGAGTGATCGCAAAATTCCATGTCGCCTAATTTCTGGAGCAGCCCAGATAAACAGGGCTGTAGTAGATAGGCAACGCAACAGTCTCGAATGACGGTGCTTGAGACTAGCAGCTCTTCAGTGGAAGTCTCCGGGTTTTGGAGGTCGCCTTGTTTCCAAAGAAACGCGCCGACTGCAGAATGGGCCAAGTCGAGAGTGCCCTCGTTCTCTCCAGTGCCCGGTTGCTGTACATATCTAGTGAGCGGCGAGCATTCGTCGGTGATAATCCTTGGATCGATGTATCGGGTCTCGTCCAGAGCAAAGTGGAACGGCGTCCTCCACATCGCAATAGCTTCGCGAAGTTCAGCAATTTGAAGGGGCCGGCGCATGTACGCCAGTATCGATAGGATGACTTTCCATAAAGGCAAGCCACCGCTTCGATTGGGTCGCTTTTTGAATCTCTCAATGACTCTCTGGTAGTATTCATCTATCGTTTTGGGTAGGCGTTCAATCATTACCGCCACCGATTCGTGTTGGTCCTTCGTTATTGCCAGCTCTTCGAGCATGGCGCTCGCGTACAGAAAGTTGCCATCGACATCCGACATCAGCACACGCTTGATCATCATTTGGGCAGCATCTAAACGGTCGACGATGCCTTCGGGCAACCGCTTCTCGAGGAGCATCTCAATGTCTTTCTTTGTATGATCCGGTGAGAGACTGATTTCCAAAGCTGATCCCTTGCTGTAGTGCGCTATATCGCGGGCGAGGGAACTGTTATACTGGCTACTGCACCAGACGCGGAGTGAATTCGGATCAACAAGGCTAGCGCTCATGAGGAACTCCAGGACCCAGTTCAGTTCACGTCTACCGCGTTCATGCTCTTCAATTTCGTCCAAGCCATCTACAAAGATGTACAAGACTGGAACATGTTTGCGTAGAACGTTGAACAGCTGTTGCAGAACCTTCAAGTCGGTTTTCCAGTGGGAGCCATTTTCAAGAACCTCGTCCGGTAGGCAGCGATGTCCCTTGCATACAATCAGGCTCAGTTGCCAGACCAGTGATCGAAGCATTTCATCTCTCGGCACTGCCATGTCCTTCTGGGTCAGCAGATAAGCAATGCAGGAGGCACCAGAAAGATCCAGCTGGTTCAAAGCCGTTCCACACAAAAAGGACTTGCCTGCTCCATGTTCCCCATGAAGCCACAATATTGGACGTGGATTCGTAGGCGACGTCCAATCTTGGAACTGAGTCGTATAGGATAGCCAGTCACCTGTGCCTTCCAATCGTTCGTCTGACCATGATTGGAGCAGGCCAGCTTGGTCCTTGGTGCCAGCCTCGAGCATTGATATGATGTCCTTCGTTTGCCGCTCTGGATGCATTAGTAACCATTAACTGGCCGCAGTGCCTGGCTTTACCTTTACGATCATTTGCGTTCAAATCTCTGTCCGTCGCAGCAGCCTGTCTTTCCTTCTTGGCGAGGTCTCTCTCCTTCTCCGCTGCGTCAAACTCAGCAGTGGCAAGCGAAAGGACTTCCAAGACTTTCTCATCAATCCTCGAAACTTCGGCACGAGAATTGGCCTGTAATTCCTGCTCCGCTGCGTCACATATCGTCTCGAGGATTTGTGTTTCTTTTCGCAATCTCTCCAAAATCGCATCCAGCTTCGTGTCTTTCACGCTAGCCTTGACGACCTGGACGAATTCTGTGTTTCGTTATTAACTGCCTAACAATAAATTCATAATCGGGCTACTCTCACGGTTGTGCTTCATATTCTTAGTCGCTTTCCACCAGAACTCAATGATGGTAGTGTATGTCTTCGCCGTCGCCCAGCGCACATGATCGCCGAAGCGCATGTTGTGAGAATAGACGTCCTCCCAGAACGGCATCCTCTTGAGCAAGCTGTCTAAGGCTTCGATCTGATCTGTAATGCGTTCAAATGCCAGTTGATACTCTTGAGCAGCCTGCAAAGAGTCATTAGCGAAGCGTTGTCTCAGACCGTTGCTCGGTTTCAATCTACTGTCATGAATACTCTCACCGCGCCCCAGATGACGGAGCCTGGATCAGGCACACCCTGAACTATCGATGGATGAGTTTCTATCATCACGCACCATACCGGGCTTACTCACAGATTTGGTCGATTGCCTTGCCATAATGCTCTAGGTGCTTCGCGACCGGACCAAGGTAGTCTTCGAACAATCTTCTGGCTTTCCTCGTCTTGCATTTTGCAGCTAGTTCCGTCATATATTGCTGCACATCGTCCCCGGAGGCTGAGCTGCCAAGACGTTTGGCTTCCTCAAGAAATTGAGTTCTCTTCGGTTTCTTGTCGAACTTCGACATGTAGTCTTGGATGGCCTTCTGGAACCTGATCTCGATGCTCAGCGTTGATTTCCTCCAGGAAGTGTGGATGAGATCTTAACAGTGGACTGTCCGCGAAGTCCGGCTTAGAGCCAGCTCCGCCTCTGCTTGTAGTCGTCATCGCCTTTAGGGTGAGTATCAGCTGCGTCCAGCGAGGACGTATGAATAAAACAAAATCGTTCTGGTGATTCAGAGTCTCCATGCGATGTGGCGTCCTCACAGAGAGCCGCAGCCTTCCCCGCTTCCGCCCTGATTGCGGCCGTCAGGTATGCAGTGCTCGTGCAGCTATCACAGTGGCACAGCCGCGATGGTACGATAACGATCATTGGTCACTTCGCCGGTTAATTGCGCTTCGCAGGGTAGCAACGCATGATGTGTTGTTCGATAGCTCCCAGGGAGAATCTCCACGAAGCTCCCGACCAATTGTTCTCGCCGCTTGCGATGGTTTGGTATGCCTACAGCTGCGCCAACGAACATCGGCAACATTATGGTGCTTGAAGATCAATACCAAACACGGGTTACATTTGATAAGACCGGTGAGCCCACGCAAGGTCGGGAACACGCCATTGTTCAGCTTTCGTGGGGGTGAGACCGGTAGAGAGCCGCAGCCTTTGGTGTGGTCTGCCGTGGTAGCTAGCACAACAAATATAAAGCCGTCGTCGACCATGCCCCTCTCGATACCAGGAACGTATGTCAGCCCTCTTTTAGCGATGCTGGACAAGCCAAACCTCCTCCTCAGATGTTTACAATGGCAGACAGGGAGCCAGAGAGCGCAGATGCGGTGGCCGGAGCCTCGCCGAGAAACGAGGTACCTGTCGTTGATGACAAAGACCTGTCCAAACGCCAGAGAATACCAATCGGGAGAGGCGACCATGTGTCAGTTGGGATGACCACTATTTGACAATATGCAGTGCTGATCGTGTCTTAGTTACAATAGGTCAGCAACTTCGAGTCGGCCCATTGCCACTTCTATACGCTGATGCATCGATAGACGAAAGCGCCAATATGAACTCCGTCAGTCCCACGAACGCGCGGAGAAAGGGCGCTGGACCAAATATGTCCTCGTAGTCCGCCGGAAATTCGACGACAAAGGCATGCCTTCGCACATTGAGCTCGAAGTCAGGGGAAAGCGTCTTCGAGCCGTACTCGAGGATATCCATAAATCGAAAGAGGCATTTGCGTTCCGGGACGAGCCCGCCCTTGTATGATTTAGCAAATACCTGCTTGCCACGTAGCTGACCATTTGCGAAGATCGATCCGCGCGAGATGTTTCATGCCTTAAAGGGACTACGTGATCGACTCGACAAGGAACAGAAAAGGCTTGAAGACCGTGACCGAGACTTGGAGTTTGAGCTTCAGGCCGGAATTTCGTATGTCTTCGAGGATTTTGGAGCGACCATGACGACGCTCAAGGCTGTGTTGCCGAGTTTGCAGATCGGCTGGACCGAACTCTGGGCCATCTTTCCCTACGGCACCGTTGTCGTGGGGACTGACAAGCTTGGTAACGAGCAAGCATACACTGTTCGCGAGGGACGAGAATGGAAGGACCCCGAGACCAATGTTTGGTATTACAGAATGTATGCAGCCTTCATTGACTCGGATGGCCGATCATGTGGCTGGGTGGAGGACAACCGTCTCATGATTCAAGAGTTCAGAGACGTGAAGAAGATCGTCGACCTTCCATACTGGCCACTTCACATGCATCCGAACGCGATGGCCATTGAGGAGCGTCTCCGAACAGCTGGACGGGAAGCGATGAGGCGACACGGACGACACGTCGTCGAGTATTATGGCCATGGATTGCGAAGGGACAAGACGGACCCGCAACGCAAGTTGATCAAGTTCAATGTCAGTCAGTCGTAACTTCAAGATCGCATCCGCTGACTATAGTAGCCGCATGGGAGACTTATTCTAGATCCAGAAACGTTCGACTTGGTTGAGCCTTACGATACGACAGTGCCCTCCGTTCACCCAGTAGCAATGGACAGTATTGGCGACGAAGAACTGAAGCTCATGTCAGCATCTGTGTACGGATTCAGCCTGGGAGACAAAATTTGGGGTGGGTTCGTCATTAACACCGTGTCGATAGATGTCCTGCGCTGACACATACCAGGGACGTTTTCTGCGGCAAAAGTTGGTGATCCCAAATGGGACGACACAGCATTCGGGGACCTGGAGCTCGGTCAGGATCGGAAGGATTTTATCCTCGACTTGGTAAAGCAGCACAGCGCCAGCAACGGCCAAGGATTCGACGACATTATCAGAGGCAAAGGCCAGGGACTCATTGGCCTTCTCGAGGGTCCGCCGGGGGTTGGTAAGGTAGGCATCGGGCAATCACCAGAGCGGAGCGTTTACTGAAGCTTGGCAGACGTTGACGGCAGAAGCCATAGCGGAGGTCACCAAGCGTCCGCTTTACAGCATGAGCGCCGGTGAGCTCGGCGAAAAACCAAGCGACATCCACAAGACGCTCAAAGGTGTTTTGGAGCGGGCACAGCGCTGGAATGCTGTGGTTCTTCTGGATGAGGCGGATGTCTTCCTGGCTGAACGAAGCGAGACAGATATCGAGCGCAACGCCATAATCTCCATTTTTCTCCGAGAGCTCGAGTACTATTCGGGGATCTTGCTTTTGACGACAAATCGGCTGCCATCTTTCGACCCGGCCTTCGACAGTCGCATCCACTTTTCCGCGAGGTATCCCGAACTGACAGCAGAGATGCGTCGAAAGATCTGGGCACGATTCATTGAGATATCCCGTGCTAGGAGCCACGAGTTAATGGTCGACTTCAGTCCCAAAGATATCGCCGATCTTGCGAATATTGATATGAACGGCCGCCAGATCAAGAACATCGTCAGCGTCTCGCAGACGGTGGCGCTCCAGAGGAAGCAACCTTTGAGCATGAAAAGTGTCCTGACCGCAATTGATTTGTCCAAGAGTAGTCGCGGCTTGAAGAAGATCAGTGCCGAAAATGCGTGAGAGAGCACGAACTCTCATGTACCACGTCACTGTCCTGGCTCTGCGAGACCTCTTTCAATTGATAGTTGCTGGTGGTCGATTGAGTAATGAGTTCCGGTACTTCGTCTGCGATAGACTATGATATTCGTTCACGCAGGTCATGGGTTTCTGTCTTTTCGTAGTGGCTAGCCATGAGGAAAGACTTCTGCTGCGTTCGGCTGCTAATCGTTGAGAGCTCCAATGGTAGAACCGTGATCGGCATGTCTTTGTTCCCAAGAAGAGCTGATTGTATGTATATCCCGAGCTGGACCGCGAACATGTGAAAGGGGAAAGAAGACAAGTTGAAAGTCGACTTCTTGCAAGATCGCTTCTCAGGCCTCACGCGGGTGGGGGCCGTTCCAGCGCCGTAAGCCGCCACGAGGACTTCTTCTTCACCTCACCTCAACTCCGGCTTGTTCGTCACAGGAATTCACACTTCGCCTATGCTAGGCAGCTCTCCAAGCGCCAATAGTAAGCCTTGGCTAAGCATATCTATCAAAGGGGATATCTAATCCAGGTACCCATTTCTACTTACTTTACAATTTAACTGCAATAAGAGGATCTATCTATATTTCTAATACTTATTAAAACCTGGTTCGTCGATACTACCTAAAGTAACATCAGCCATGACTCGGACCTGCGACATTCCATTCTCTCGTAGAATGTAAGAAGTAATTAGGTACTTGGACGGCGACACACAAAGTATTAAATCAATGCCTCTGTGCTCCGCTCTTACTCTCGATGGAACAAAGGCCAGAAGCAGTCTACGGGACTTACGTGTGACGACAACTCTCGCGTGATGGCACCACGATATGGCTCACGGTACAATCTTCCGGCCTACCAATGTTGTCGTATATGCACCCGACCACACTCTCACTGCTACCGCGTTCCACGAAACCCACATCTCATCCGAAGACCATCGAGGCTTTGCCAACCTTATCGCCGTCCACCAGGGTCTGAAAGTCCATGTCTCCCGTCCTCTGATCAAGACTGACTTGCAGCTGATATCGAACCATCAACGTGGATGATGTAGAACGGCTAACCCCTCGGCTGAGTGTCGACTCATCCATGCCCGTGAAATCGATCAAGATTTTGCCAAGCTTTTCAACTTCTTTTCGTTTCCCTACTGTCAGCCATGGTCAAGCGTACGTCAATAAACACCAATCGACTTACGCGGATGCTCCATATGCTCTGGCGCTGTGTCCAGAGAGCAAGAGAATATGCTGACTTGAGTGGTTAGACTGTTGCGGCGACTCCATGTGTGGACGAGATCGATGTGCCGGTTGGTATACATATCTTCGCCCTGTTGTAGCATGATTAGCTGGCCAATTCTGAAGGGTAAGTCTTGGACGAAGCAGCTTACCTTTGAGATGAACCACTGCATACGACCACTGCAGGTCTTGTTGCCCGTGAGGTTATCGAACACTGCTGCTGATGAAGGGTCGATACCTTCGCGAGAGGGCATCGACACCAAGAATCCGTAGTGTCGGTTGGAACGCCTCTCATACAATATCGCTCCTTGTAGCCCTCGGAGCGCTGCGCCGCGCACTATCGCTGTTTCGCTATCGCAGCATTAGCAGTTGAGTTTCGAGTGCTATCAACCACTTACGGATGTTCGGGGGAAACGACTGGGCCGATGCCATGCTCACGGCACCACGCCGTAACACGCTCATGTAGGTGAAAAAATTCGCCGAAGCCGCCCACGAGAACAACTCTCTGTACGTTGATTAGTAGCTTTACGGTTCTGACATTTGTATGTTGTTCTTACATCGATGACTCTGCCCCCGTTTCTGGCGCTTTCAACCTGCCTTGCCATGAGCCCAATAATCTCGTCCTCTACGGGTCGAAAAAGGTCGTTCATGTCTTGCCTGGACGTAGTCAGTCTTCGTTCGAGTGCAGATCCAGTAATACTTACTGAGATAAGAATACGGCCCACGGCCGTGTTACGCACAGCCACACGATGCACAACCCGGGGGTCTGCATACAACCGACTTGTCCGCGATATGTGGACATCTCCTGCGCAAGACAGCTGAAATCAGGGTCTGGAAGTGTGCACGAAGTTCCAAATCAGACGTGACAATGTTCGAAACATCCATGGTGAAATTATCCCTGTAAGTGTCGCCGAAATGAACGTACCCTCTCCATTTGATGTTCGGGGTACAAAGGCTGCTGCAAAGACCTCCTTATCATGAGAGGTGCCGAAAACCAAATACATCTCTTGGCGCTAACTTCTGCTTCGATCAACTGGTGAAGTCTCGCAAAATGCATGCCAAAGTCCCTCAATTCACGATCTTGATAGATAGTCCTGTCATCTCAAGGCAAGCAGGTCGAACATTTCTCAAGCCTTCGCTACGCCACGTGGAGTAGCTGCCGTTATGTGGAGCCGGTGAAGGCAAATGTGCCTCATGGTCGAAGTACGAGACATTTGCTGAGCTTGTTCTCCGACTAGGCTCTGACGCTGCGACGGTCAAGAGGTACGCTTAGTCGAGGGCTTTCGTAGCCATAGCTGGTGATCCCAGAGCGCTGCAGTCGCTGACCCTGGGGTGATACTAGCACCGAACTTCGGTCTTCCCCACGAGCAAAGCCTGGACGAGTATCACCTGGGTCGCGGAATTCAGGGCGCAGTGGATACGGATAATAGGGCACATCATCTGCATGCTGCCTATCATGGCTATACGGCATGGTATCGGCCCGTTTCACCTGAGGGATGTCGGGGCTGTCATGTATATCGGGTATGTCGATCATCGTCCGCCTGGGCTTCTTTCCTGCAATCGGTGACACTTCATGCCGTTCGAAGCGGAGTGAGGGGTTTTCAAATGGAGCGCTAACCCTAAAGACGGATCCTTTGCGATGGGATCTAGCTCTCTCAAAAACTCGCGAGCTTTGTAGAGTCTGGCCCAAGATATACCAGCACTGGTCCTCCATCTGTGAGGTATCATCTCTCGAAATTGTGCGATCCACCAAGTCGTGAACTGAACCGCGCGATTCAGATGTCTGAGCAAGCGCCCCGTCTCTTGATCTCGCTGTTTGAAGAGCGTTCGCAAGTGAAAATGGATTGTTCAGATTCATCTCCGGTATGTTCGACGTGGCAGAAGATGAAGGGCTGAAATCAGGACTCGTTGGACCGTATTTGGGGCTAGTCGGGATGTATCCTGGACTGGACGGGCCGTATTTGGGACTGGTTGGAGAGTATGAAGGGCTGTGTGGACTGTACTTTGGACTCCGCGGTGGCAGTTCCCACTCGTCGTCCCAGGCTTCCCATGGCGAATCCATATCTGACGTACCCAGCTGTTCAACCTGTTGCAGTGTTTGGCGTTGTTAACTGAGGATCGCGTGGTTTGCGGATTCGTGAAGATGGCTAAGGTGAACAGGGCGGAGATGGCCAGGCGACGAAGTTGATACACGACGCAGCTCCAGCTCTTGCGCCGCAGCGCTTGCTGGCCTTGCGCGTCCTCATTTTCAGGACTGAAGGCTCGCTCGAAGATCTCTCTTCCTCACATCAGAATAACGACGATAGGATGAACAATGAGTGTAGTCACAACAAACATCTCGAATGCACCATCTGCCGCACGGGCCGCCTTCGCCGAGGCCCGAAACCTTGTCCTCCAAGACCGCAAAGGGACCCCGGTCGAGACCTGGCTTCAAGACAAGTACACCATCGAAGATATTTAACACGCCATCGAGGCCGCAAAGCAGCAGTATGGGGCGAAAAGCAATGGCAAGAGGCGTGAATGGCTGGGGCAGGCGTCTAGGGGTATATTGGCATATAGGAAAGTAATAGACATGCTACAGGCTCTAGCAAGAATGATATGAACCCCTGCTAGTTTCTCAGCCTTTATCTAGCTATATATGGAAAAATAAGTGGGTCACCACTTTGTATAGCCTCCTTTAGTATCGATTACTGCCTAATATCTTTCCCTAATACTCTAGTAGATCCTTAATATATTAGAT